CAGAGGCTGAGCCAAGGGCCTGGGAGCGGGAGCCCAGGGTAACCGGGAGGGGCCGCAGTGGGGACGCCCTTCCCTGGGCCTCCCGAGGTGCCGGGGGCTGCAGCCCAGCAGGACAGGTGCAGACCTGGGAGGAGCAGAGGTCTGGAGTGGCGCCATGGCTGTGCCAGGCAGAGGCCTACGAGAGAGGTGCCCGCTGCCCTGCTCCGCCGGAGCCCAGCGTCCACTCTCCACCTGCACACCCTGCTCCGAGCCGGGGCCGCCAGTTGCCGCCCCTGTGGTCATCATGGGCCCTCCCGCCTGCATGAGACTCCAGCTCTGCAGTGAACAGCAGGAGTACAGTCTAAGGGGGGTGACTAGGGCAGGCACTCAAGCCTCAGAAATAGGAGGTGGCCCTGAGCCCAGACCTCAGGGAGCAGGGCCTGCCTCCCCCGGTGCAGCAGACTCCAAGGTCTCGCCCGACGAGGGACCCAGTGAGAGTATCAGGGGACGGTTGGGGGACTGCCTTTCAGTTTTTCCACAGGCAGGGTCCCCATCAGGTAGAAGGGACAGGAGATCCTTGAGGGCCCCTGGTGAGCCCCAGCATGAGACGTGGGGGTTGGAAAAGGAAACTCAACCCAAGGCTCTGGGGTAACAAGCACCTCACCCCAAAGAGCCCTTCCTGCTCTTGGTTGTGTCAGGGTAGTGTGCCCAGCCTGGAACTGCAGTGACCAAGGAGGGCCTACCTGTGGACACCAAGAGTCCTTGATGGGTTCCTTTAGGCAGTAGCGGTGGTTTATCATGCCTGTGAGATCCTGAGCACTGCTGGGAGGCAGAGGCGGGCGGATTGTCAAGTTCAGGAGTTCAAAACAGCTGAGCAAGAGGAGACCCTGGTCTTATTATAAATGGGAAAAATTAGTTGGCAACACAAAAGTAGTTTATAAAAAAAAAATTAGCTGCATCGGGTTGGGCCTCCTGTAGTCCCAGCTACTCGGGAGGGCTGAAGCAAGAGCCTGCTTGAAGCCAGGGGCTGTGATGGTTGTGTGAGCTAGGCTGACGCCACGGCATCACTCTAGCCTGTGCAACAAAGTGAGACTCTGTCTCAAAAAAAAAAAAAAAAGAGTTCCTGTGGCTGTGACTAGGTCTCTAGGGGCTCCTCCCAGGCATGGCCCCAGTTCTGAGGCTCCTGCCTAGTCACCTCCTGCCCAGCCTTCAAACAGGGAAAAGGGTCAGTCATTCACAGCTAGAGGCACTTACTGCACAAAGCTTCTAGAAACCAGACCCGGGGGTCAGACTGGATTCCTGAGATGCAAGAACCACCAGCAAACATTTTTTTTTTTGAGACAGAGTCTCACCCATGCCTGGGCTGGTGAGTGAGGTGCCGTCGGCGTCAGCCTAGCTCACAGCAACCTCAAACTCCTGGGCTCAATGGTTCTCCTGCCTCAGCCTCCGGAGTAGCTGGGCGACTAACAGCATGCGCCACCCCATGCCCGCCTTCTATTTTCTATTTTTGGCAGAACGGGGTCTCAGCTCTTCGTTCAGGCGGTTCTCACAACTCCTGCGCTCAAATGAGCCTCCTGCCTCGGCCTCCCCGCAGTGTTAAGGATTAAGGCGTGAGCACCGGCGGGCCCAGCCACCAGTGAACATCTTGCTGCTTTCATGAGCAGATTGAACAGGCCTGGGGCCTGGGCCTCTGGGTGGGAGGACAGGACTCTGCAGTCTCTGGGGAGCTTTCCCTCTTGGGCAGGGGGAGGAGGGAGAGCAGAGGCGGCAGAGGTGGTCGGGAGCAGCCAGAGCTCCTGGCTTCTGGCCGCAGCGAACCCAGGCGTGGACCACTGTAAAGCACCTGCTGTTGCTAAGCAGACCCGACAGGGCGGGGGAGGCCCAGCTGGCTTCCCCTAGGAGGGGCTTGGCCCCAGAGCTTCTGCGTGGCTTGCCGAGGCCTCTCTAAGGACATCTGCAGCTCTTAGAGAGAGAGCAGGAGCAGCCCAGGGGCCACAGTGGAAACCATCAGAGGGGCCAAGGGGCGACAGGTGAGTGCCTGGCGTGCCATCTGCGTGGTGCCACACATGCAGTGTAGACTATTCCAGGAGTCCCAGGGCCCAGACTGTCCTCAGCTCTGGGCAGCATGAACCTTCAAGTACCCTCCTTGGCCAGGGGCCCCGGCCCAAGGAATGGGGCCCAGTGGGAAGGGGATGAGTGAGGAACGGGGCCTCCAGCGCCCTGTCCACCCTGGAGCCTTGGAGTCAGCCGGATCTGAAAGTGAGGTCCACACTGTGGGCCTCACCCAGCCCTCCCAGCTCGTGTCTGTCGGTGTGTGTGAGGCAGACGTGGGTGGGCTGACCTCCCCGCAGCGCAGCTGGACACTGAGGAGGGTGGGCAGAGCGTTTCCCCTCCTCCCCAGCGAGCCTACAGGACCCCCCACCCCCAAACAGAATGCCACCAGCGTCCCCAGCTGCCCTCAGACCCTCCAGCTCCTGCCAGCCCAGCACAGGCTCTTGCTGGCTGGGATTGGCCACAACATGGCCTGGCCTCTGCCCCAGCCATGGCCACGACTGTCCATGGACCCTCATGAGGTTTGGCTGGGGACACAGCACATCTGAGACCCAAATCTCTCAATAGCCCATGGCCCCTTCACTGTCACCCCAACCTCCAGGGCTGGACTACAAAACGAGGCAGGGGGCAGCCAGGTGAGGAAGAGCAATGACTGGCCATCGCCAGGTGTCTGCAGAGACAAAGATGGACACGGACACGAGGACAGGGAGAGCAAGGCAAGGCAAGCGCATCTGAGACAGGCCTGGCGCCAGTGCAGAGAGAGAGTGGGCCCTGCATGGGTACGAGCAAAAACTCAGAGGCAGCCTGGGGTGGGGACACCCCAGTCCCTGGTGCTGTCTGAGCGTGGCTTTGCAGCATTGGCAGAGCGACTCTTCGCAGAGGAGGAGCCCGATGCGGGTGAGAGGTGGTCAGTCTGTGTCCCGGGAGGGGCCAGGCTTCAAACCAGTCTGTGGCCCTGAGCTGGGCCATCTCACCTCCTGCACCTGGCTCTGGTTTCTCATGCTGCAGACCTTGTGCCCTGCCCTCCATTCACACCCTGGAGCCCCCGCCCCCAGGAGCAGTAGCCACTCTACCCCCTGACTCTGACTTTCAGAGCCTAGAATATGAATATTCCATCTAGTGGCCCCTCCTCTGCTCAAAACCCTTTGGGGCTCCAACTATCAGTCTCCCTTACATGTAACAGCCTCTGCAGACTCAAGGGTTCTTCGGGGTTTTTTTTTGGGGGGGGGAAAGACTCTTGCTCTGTCACCCAGGCTGGAGTGCAGTGGTATCATCATAGCTCACTGCAGCCTCCAACTCCGGGCTCAAGTGATCCTCCTGCCTCAGCCTCCTGAGTGAGTTAGCTGGGACTAAAGGCATGCACCACCACACCCAACTAATTATTGTATTTTTGGAGGAGACAGGGTCTTGCTATGTTGCCCAGGCTGGCCTCAAATTCCTAACTTCCAGTCATCCTTCTGTCTCCACCTCCCAAAGTGCTGGGATTATAGGCGTGAGCCACCATATCTGGCCAGACTTGAGGATGCTTTTTAAGGTCAAAGGGAGTAGCAGGGGTGTAACTCCTGGGGCTGGGAGCAGGGGTGAGGGGTGGGAAAAGGGGGCTCTGGAGGGAGAGGGTGGCCACTGGCACCTCTGGAGGGGCAGGTGTTGGTGGCAACATTGTTCCCTGCAATTGTGCTCATCTTTGCTTCCTGCCCTTTCATCGCCCAGTTGAGTGGACAGGGCCTGAGGGGAGGGGGAGGGGGGCCTCTCTGGCCTCAGGGAGGCCGAGACTGTACCCTACCCCCAGCTCAGGACCCCCTCCAAAGCCCCTTCCCTCAGGGGCCCTGCTACCTAAGCCTGGGGGTCCCAAGCAGCAGGAAGGTAGAGCCAACCCTGTTAGTCCCAACGGAGGCCAGTGAACCCTCAGTCCAGCCTCAAGGTAGGCATCTGGGACATCCCTGGCCCTCATGGGTGAGCCATCTCTGGGACACTGCACAGGACACTCACTGCCTCCCAAGGATGCTGGCCAGGCCCCCTGTGAGAAAACTGCTTCCCTCTAGGATAAGGCTGGGCTCCATGGCCTAAGACTATGCCCAAAGACAGAGGGATGGTCTCAATGACATCTCAAGGATGAAGTCAAATCCTGGCACTCCTGGTGACCCAAAGCACCTGGAGTCCAGATCAGCAGGATGGAGCCTGCCTTCATCCACCACCACCAGCCCCGCTCCCCCTTCATCCACCACCACCAGCCTGCTTCGTCCCCCACCAGGGCTCCACGATGAGCTGGGACTGTGGCCTCAGCACCCAGCTCTGTCAAGCAGCCACATCTGTGGCCCATGTGCCCAGCTTGGGGGCCCTGCCCACTAGCCTCCCAGGAGAGGCTGTGATGCTGCCGTCACTCCTGCAAACGGGGCGTGGAGAAGGCGAGGGGCTGACTCAAGGCCAGGACATTCCCAGGGAAGCCTCTTGAGCTCCCCGCCCTGTGCCAGGGCCTGGCATGGGGCTCCAGTTCCTCCTTGTCCACCCTTAGCTGCCTCACCCTTCCCTGACCCTTACGAGAACAAGGAAACAGCACACGATCTGTTGGCGGGAGACATTCTGTGCTTCCAGTAGGTGTGGGAGGCAGGGATGGATGCCACCCCGGCTGGGGCTGGGCAGCAGGGGCTGCTGGGGGTCAGAGACATCATCTCTTCTGGACCGGGGTCCACTAGCCCACACGCAGGGCCCATCATAGGAAGGGAGTCCCTTACAGAGTGCACAGAGGGAGCCCCTGTCCCTGCAGAGGTGTGTTGCTCTGGGAAGTCCCCTCTGCCCTCCCCTCCAGGCCTTCCTGTCCATGCACTTGCTCAATCCTGCCCAGGGGCGGAAAGGGGCAGAAACCCTGCCAAGTGTTGCAGCAGGAGTTTGGCAATTGTCTCACTTTCCTGGATTTGGCAAAGGATGAATCAACCCGCCCTAGGATGGGCCCATAAAAAGGGTCCCCGGCTAAGCCTCCTCACTCTCCTCCTCTCCCCCCACTACCAGCCCAGCAGCTGCCTGCAGCACCGCTTCTTCGGCCCTGAAACCATGTCCCTAGGTCTCCTGTGGCTGGGCCTCACCATGCTGGGTGCCCTGCACACCCAGGCCCAGGACTCCAAAGAAAAGCTGATCCCGGCCCCACCCCTGCTCAGAGTCCCTCTGCAGCCAGACTTCCAGGACGACCAGGTAAGGGGCCTGGAGGGCACCTGTGGGGGAGGGGGGGGCCCAAGGAAGAGGGGAGCAGAGGCCAAGACACTTAGGATGGGGCATTGGGCAGGACAGGGGGACTCAGGTAGTCCAGGGCCCAAGCTGCAGCTCACCCTGCACCTGGGTCCCCTGATGGAAGCCACACCCCACGCCCCTGTTCCCACCCATCCCAGGGTCACCTAAGCAGACCTCCCCAGGCACACCCTCCTCTCTCCCAATCCCCACTGTCCATGCAAGGTGGGAACATCTTCAGTCCCTCTGCACAGATGAGGAAACTGAGGCTCAGGAAGGTTCCCCCAGCCATTTACTTGTCCAGGGTCACCCCCAGCCCTGCCAGACTCAGGGCCACCTGCTCACCCAGGGCTCCCTCCCAACCTGACATCCTCTGGCTCCGGCCAGCTCCATCAGTGCAAGCCCAGCCAGAGGGGCTGCTGGTTCCAGGCCAGGCTGCCCAGAGGTGCCCGCAGGGGCAGAGCGAGAGGGGTGGCTCCTGGGGCCATTCCTGGGCTCCGCTCACCGGCAGCCCCTGCAGTTCCAGGGGAAGTGGTACGTCGTGGGCCTGGCAGGGAACGCAGTCAGCAAAGAAGAACAAGGCCAGTTTACGATGTACACCACCACCTACGAGCTGAAAGACCACAGCTACAATGTCACCTCCACCCTGCTCAGGTGAGAGCCCCCTCCTAGGGGTCTGAGAGGCAGACCAATGTCACCACCAAAGAGTGACAGAAGCTGAGAGACCTGTCATTCATCCACTGTCCGCACTGGACCCATCTATTTGTCCACTCCTTCCTCTGTTCGTTAGAGCGATATTTATGGGTCACTTCAGCTCAGATACACACAGACAGTAGTGGGGACAGACATACGCAGTCATTAGAAAACAAAACGGAGGGAATAGGGGTGTCCTACAATGGAAGGAGGGACACTGGTTTCAGCCTGGAACCCCAGGGCCTTCATCGAGGGGTTCCAGGGAGGTGGCCTTAAAGAAGCCAACCTGCCCCCGAAGGAGGTGAGGGGTGTTCACGGCAGGGGCTGGTGGACTCCGAGTGGGACAGAGCTGTGCCTTCAGGAAGCAGCAGCATCGGCGGGGCCACCCTGAGCAGGAGCCACTGAGCAGCCTGGAGGAGCCGGGTGGCCACGCTGACATGGCCCTCGGACACCAGCACCAGAGGGCTGTGATGTGGAGTGGGTCTGAGGAGCAGGGCAGACATGGTGGGGTGCAGCCTGGGAAGGTGGGAGACCAGTGGAAGCGGGGCTGGGCAGTCACAGCGGGGGGGACGATGGGGTAGAAGAATGAGGACTCAGGGCAGGGAGTCGGGGGGAGCTCCAGTGGGTCCTTCACTCTGGCTCCTCAGTGGGTGGGGGTTGAAGCATTTGTGGACCAAGGAGCAGAAGAAAGGCGGGTTCGGGAGCCCTGAGGTGCCAGGGAGCAGGTGGGACTTGGGGAGCTGGTTTGGTCCAAGAGCTAGGGGCGTACTTGGCACGAGGCAGACTGGAACCTCAGGTAGACCCCCAGGAGAGGTGTAGGAGGGAAGCAGCAAGAGCTGGGATAGATGCTGGGGGAGGGGACTGTGTGTGCGGAGGTCCACCAACGGAGGCAGCCAAGGGAGGGAAGGGTCTGAGCAGGGTCCAGCGACCCAGGGCAGGGCCAGGAGGAATAGCCAGGGAAAAGCACAGAGGGGAAGGCCCAGGCCCATCTCAGTTGGGTGGGTGGGGGACCCCTGTGTAGTGGGGATGGGCTGACATGGCTTGGGCTGGACTGGGGGTGTCCAAGTCCTGCTGGAACCCCAGACCAGGGGGTCCATGCCTGCACTGAGTCCCCTCCCACTGCCCATCTCATGCTCCCACAGGAATGGGAAGTGTGACTACTGGATCAGAACTTTTGTCCTAACCTCCCAGCCTGGCCAGTTCGCCTTGGGCAACATTAACCGTGAGTCCTGAGTGAGGTGGGGCGTTGGGCTTGGGGCTTCACGGGGCAGGGTCCTCCTAGAAGGGGCAGGGACTTCCCCGGCCCCTTTCCACAGGTGCTGTTTTGCAGGGAGAAGCCCATGCTCATGGGCTGGGGAGAAAAGTGACAGCTCCCTCTTCCCAGCCAGGGCAGGGCTGACCTCTCCCTGTCCACACCTGCAGGGTACCCTGGAATACAGAGCTATACCGTGCGAGTGGTGACCACCAACTACAACCAGTTTGCCATAGTGTTCTTCAAGAAGGTGTCTGAGAACAAGGAATACTTCAAGACCACCCTCTATGGTAGGTTGTCCCCCCTTCCCTAGGGGACCCGGCTCACACTGGGGGGAGGGGGCCCCTCTGCAAAGAAGGGATCTAAGGCCTTGTTCACTCCTTCAACAATATTGATGGAGTGTCCGCCGGCCACTCACCGGCCACCTTGACCACAGGGAGAACCAAGGAGCTGCCCCCTGAACTGAAGGAGAACTTCATCCGCTTCGCCAAATCTCTGGGCCTTACTGAGGACCACATCATCTACCCTGTCCCAATCGGTAATGGCCAGCTGGGAAGAGGGGACATGGGGACTGTCTGGGCCTGATGCCACCCCATCAGGGAAAGGGGAAGAGGGGAGACTTGGTCACCTGCTTCAGCCACTGGAGGGGGGACAGTCCAGGAGCTCCCTGGGAGCTGCTTGGGTTCAGGAAGACCGTGGTACCCCCAGGGATCCAGGCCCCAAGTGCTCCTCCCTGACAGTTTAGCTGGGGCCTGCCCAGATGAGGATGCAGACCCAGGTCCAAGTGTCCCCACTCTCACTGCCCTGGGCCACCTCCCCGCACATTCCCAGGACGCCGTGTCCTGGGCCACCTCCTCTCCATATGCTGGGTCTTGCTCACCATTGACTCGGGCAATGCCCTTGACTTCAGGGGGCCTGACCTGGGCAGGAGCCTCCAGCCAGGCCACTCAGACAGCCACTGGCTTCCCCAGTGCCGAGGGGCTGCCGGGCCTCGCTGGGAAACAGGCGGGAGGCCTGGGTGCCTGAGTGGCCAGGGGGCTGGGCCTCACCTGCCTTCCTGGATGAATGGTGTCCCCAGGGCTACCTGTCCCTGGGTCTTTGTCCCACGTCCCCTTGCTCCATCATTAGCCTCTCTGCTGCTCCATCCCTGAAGGGAAGCCCCAGACCCTTTACAGCTGGGCCAAGCGGGCCGGGGCTGCCCACAGGCAGTGCGAAGTCCCGGTAGGCAGGGGGCTCTCACGGGCACGCACGCACGCACCTGCCCGTTCCGACGGACTTTCTCCCCCCACAGACCAGTGCATCGATGACTGAGCACACAGTGAGTGTGGCTGGAGGGGACTGGAGGGGGCCAGGGTGCAGCGAGTGGGGGTCTCGGACCTGCCTTTTCTCCTCCCCTGCCCCCAGCACTGCTGCCATCTTCACTCCACCGTGTCCCTCTCAGGTGCCTCCTGTCTCTCCGCCCTTCTCCCCCATGTCCCCTTCTGTCCAGGGTGCCACCAGCTGCCCCACCAGCCCCAACACCAGTGGGAGCTGGGAAACCCTCTCCCGGCACCTCCTACGTAGCCAGCCTGCTGACGGAGCACCCCCCCTTGCTGAATAAACACATCCCCCCAGGCCCCCTGTCTGCTGCTTCTTCACTCCTGGGCCGTGAGGATTGGCAAGGAAGGGGGCTCATCCCAGAATCACTCCCAGGGCCTGCGCTCCCCAGTGAGGGATGAAGGCCATGGAACCCGGATGTTAGGGCTGCAGAGCAAACGCAAGCACAAGCGCCTGTCATCACCGGCAACCCCCTTGCAGCTGACTGGCACCACACTCCCTCCTGCTGTGATGGTGGGCTGGGTCCCAGAACAGCAGCCCTCATATGCCCCTGCCTGAGGGTGCCCAGTCCAACGCAGACACTGATGGGGCCACACGTCATATCCACGCACGGCCACCTGCAACAGGGCCCAACAGCAGCAGCAGCAGCTCAGCCTCCCCCAACTCACCAGGCCCCCTGTGGATGCTGGGAGGCCACAGCCAGGCCGGGAGGGGTGCACAGAGGGTGGGGCAGAGACATGCACAGCTTGAGGCTGTTCCAGGCAGAGAGGGTCACAGGGGTGGTCCTCTGCTCCTCTGACAGCTCCCTGGTGCCCAGTGCTTACGCACTGGGCAGGTGGCCATGTCCATGCTGATCCCATTCAGAGCGCTGCCCTCACCCCACACCTCCCTTCATGTTGATCTCCTGACCATCTGGGGGTGCACTCTGAAGCCAGGGCCAGGGGAGAGGTAGGGGCATGTGCTGCCAGGAATCGGGCTTCCTAGGAGACTCTCGGGCTCCAGGCCTGCACCCGTCATTTGGCTGGGGCTGTGTCAGGCCTGGCAAGCCCCTGTCCCCCAACTGGCCACAGCTGTAGCCTCCCCAGGTCTGTACCACACACAGGAGCTCCCTCCCCAGCCCCTCCTCCCCTTGCAAGGTCAGAGGCCAGAGTGGGTGGGGTTCAGAAGAAACCCAGGTCCCACCCTACAGACACACACCACCCACTCACCCTCGGCAGTGGGAGTGGGAGAGTGAGCAGTCCCAGCCTTGGTCCCCCAGGGAGTAGGACAGGCCTGCGAACCAGGCCCACCAGACGCTGCTGAAGCCTCAGAAGTCTGGGCCAGACTCAAGGAAGAGACCAGCGTGGTGCAGCCAGGGCCTTCAGAGGGACGGGGCTGTGCCCAAGTCCAGAGAGGCTCTGGCTGAGAAGGGCACTCAGGGAGCACTGGCCAGAGCCCCACTAGCCGGCCACCTAGCACGCCTGGCCCTTGGGCTCCTCCTTAGACAGTAGATCTAGTTTCCTACTTCGGCCCAAGCAAGGCAGCTTTCCATCACCCCCTGGGCCTGCTGGGCTTTTCTGGATCAAACGCTTAGGGCACAAATGGGGCTTTGTGTTTCCTTCCTAATCACTGGAGGTATATGAGTTTCCTATCGCCACTATAATAAATTGCCACAACCATGGGTTTAAAACAATACACACATATTCTTTTACAATTCTGGTGGTCAAAAGTTTGATATTGGCCGGGCGCGGTGGCTCACGCCTGTAATCCTAGCACTCTGGGACACCGAGGCGGGCGGATTGCTCGAGGTCAGGAGTTCAAAACCAGCCTGAGCGAGACCCCGTCTCTACCAAAATATAGAAAGAAATTAATTGACTAACTAAAAATATATATACAAAAAAAATTAGCCGGGCATGGTGGCGCATGCCTGTAGTCCCAGCTACTAGGGAGGCTGAGGCAGTAGGATCGCTGAGCCCAGGAGATTGAGGTTGCTGTGAGCCAGGCTGACGCCATGGCACTCACTCTAGCCTGGGCAAGAAAGTGAGACTCTGTCTCAAGAAAAAAAAAAAAAAGTTTGATATCATTCTCACTGTGCTAAATTTACAGTGTCTGCAGGGCGGTGGTCCCTCCAGAGGCCCTCAGGAAGCATCTACCTCCCTGCCCTTCCAGCTGCTAGTGCTGCCTTCCTTGCATTCCTTGGCTTGCGGCCCCTTCCTCCTTCTTCAGAGACAGTGTAGCATCAGCAAACCTCTATCTCTGCTGAGGGCCTCACTTTCAGTCAAGGAGCATATGCTGATCTGCCTGGACGAGAGGCTATTCTCCAAAATTCCCTGGGCACTGGTTCAGGGCAGTCCTTGCTTCCACCCAAGCTGGTTCAGGGAGAAGGCATGACCACCCATGTGTCCACGTGCAAGTTGGTGGTGACTCTTACGGCAGGCTGTGGGCTCAACCTCACTTCCACCCTCCTTAGGGGAGGCTTCTGGGACAGGAGAGGATTCTACCCATTGTTACCACCTAGGACCCACACCCTAGCCCTGACCCCTATGCTGAGGGTGGCCTGTCCACAGAAACAATGGCGTGAGACCAGGACCAGGCTGCTGCAGCCACGGGGACTCCTGGCCACTACAGCTACAGCAGTCCCAGTAAGTGAGCCCTTTTCCCCTGGGACATGGGCCTCTCAGCTGGACACCTGGCCTGCATCACACCTCTGGGTCTAATCCAGGAGTGACACTGCTGGCTGGCTGATTGTGGGCAGGCCACCCTCTCCTAGCTGGTAAGTGACGTAGGTTATCATGTAGCCTTTCTCCAGGGCCAGCCCTGGCAGCAACTGTGCCCCGAAGACCTCCACCGTCCACAGCAGCACCCATGTGAGGGGCAGCAAACCTTTGCATTGGGAAGATGACACACAGTCCGGGCAGCACTGGAGAAGAGCCGGGCTAGGGGGAGTCTCGCCCCCTCTTCCGCCTCCGCCCTGGTTAAGGGGCTCACCCTAAAACGGACTGTCCGATTCTCTTACTCTGAGCTAGAGTTTGGCCGCCTGTTAGGGCTCAATAGGTGCAGCCACTGAGCCCTAAGAGAGGCGCTAGAGACAGGGGTTGGGGGCAGGGGTACCCTTCCCTAGCGACGGGGGAGGCGAGGAGGAGACCGGTTGTGACTCTCGGAGGGGCTGTTAAGAGTCCCCCGAAGCCATGGGAGGCCTCGGAAACGGAGGGGCGGGAGAGGCGGTTGGGCAGAGTGAGGTGCGGGGCGCCCGGCCCTCCGCGGGAGCCCGGGCCCCGCCGCAGGGACTCAGCGCCTGCAGCCCCGGGCAGGGCCGGGAGGGGGCGGGGCTCGACTGTGAGGCAGGGGCGGGGCTCCGCCAGGGGGCGGGGTCTGGGCGGGGCGGGCCCGGTCCGGGGCGGGGCGGAGGCGGAGCTGGGCCCGCGGGGCTCCCGGGTCGGGGGCGGGGCCCCGGCCGCCCCGCACAAATCCGCGGCTGCGTTCCACCCTTCCGGCCCGCGTTCCCTCCGCCGCCTCCGCCTTCCGCCCGGCGCCGGCCTTCGGCGCCACGGTCGCCGCTGCCATCGTCGCGCGGCCCTTGCGGCGCCTGAGCCTGCAATGTCGGGCCCCAACGGGGACCTGAACATGCCGGTGGAGGCGGGAGCGGAAGGCGAGGACGACGGCTTCGGGGAAGCAGGTGACCCGAGGGCGCTGCTGAAGCGACCTATGCTCTAACAGGGCTGCCCTCCTAGGAAGGGGAGTTGGACCGGCTTCGGGGCTGGGAAGGGACTCTGAAGAGTCCTCCCCGAGCCGCCCCGCTCCGGGATCCCGAGTCGCAGCTGCTGTCTCGGATGCAGGGCGAGCACCTGCGAGCGGGTCCCTGGACACCTGTGAGCGGGCAGCTGTGGGGAGCCAGCCCGGTTTTACAGGTGGGGAAACTGAAGCACCTTCAGGGACACTCTCCCGTTTGGGATTAGCTCCAGCCCCTGGGGGACCGCGGGGCCGGCTGGGCTTAGTGGGAGGGGCTGACCTGGTGGGCGCGCGTTCTGCTGAGTCAGCATCCCCGGCCACCTGGCTTTGCAGGTGTGGCCTCGCAGGCTTGCCAAATGTGAGCGGCTTACAGAGCAGCCTCTTGCGTGCTTAAGAGCGTAGGGCTAGTGTGTGGAGAGAGAACCCTCAGCTCCCTTCTCACCTTCTCCAGCCTCAGTTCTCCCATCTATAAAATAGGAATAATGATTAGTATCTCCTGCATTGGGATGGGTCAGGATTAAATAAAAAAATAAATGGAAAATGCTTAGCAGGTTCCAGCACGCAAGTGGTAAGTGGTTACTGCCATTCTTCTCTTTGGTGTAGTAAAGACTGGTGTGTTAACTTAGAGGGCAGGCTATGTGGGGGAAGTATGGAGGATGCTTTTTGAGTAAAAGCTTTATTGAGCTGTAATTCACATTCAGTTTGCCCATTTAAACTGTACAGTTCAGTAGCTTTTTATACATTCACAGAGTTGTGCATCCATCACCACAATAGTTTTAGAACATTTTCATCACCCAAGGTCTGCTTTTAATAAAGAGGTAGCAGACCTCCTCCTGGGGGTGGCTGTGGGCTGGGCAATGCTGGTGAACAGTGGCCACTTCGTAGTCACTGCTGGTAGCCACAGTAGGAGCATCAGGAAGGGCCTCCCAGGAGGTGACATTGAGTGGCTGTTGGCAGACAGGACTTAGAACAGTGGGGAGGAGGGTATCCCAGACACACGCCTGTATCCTGTGATACAGAATGTGAAATATTGATAAGACCATCTACTAAATACTTGCTATGGCCAGACCCTGTCTGAGCTCTTGATGCATTTGAACCCTCACAACAACCCAGTTCTTAGCCCTTTTTTCCAGGAATGTGCAGTAACTTGCTAGGACAGAGCAGAGCTGGAACTCAGAACTCAAGTGCCCTGATCCCAGAATCGGAGTTTTGGCTTTGTGACCAGAGGTTGGAAGGCCCTGGGCAGGTTGCTTCCTTCTTCAGCCTCAGTTTCCCCAGCTATACCACAAGGGGGTTGGACTTTAAAATCCAGATTTCCCAGGACTCTGTCCTCTGTGAGGAGGACCATCTCGGGGCCAGAACGCAGGCACATTCGCACCCACGTCCCAGACACACTTCTTGGGCCCTGGCCTCGCCCAGCCTCCACCAGCTACTTCCCCATTGGTCCCAAGCTGGCAGCCCAGTGTATCTGAGTCATGGGCTGGCTCAGAACTGGGTCCCGCAGTGGGCACAGGCCCAGACCTTGGATCCTAAGGGACATTGTGTTGCTGAGAGAGGCAGGTCAGGAGTGGCTGTAGAGGAGGGAGTGATGGTTTCCAGTGGAGACAAGGGAAGACTTCTTGGAGGAGGCATTTTGAGCAGGTCCTTGCAGGGTTGTTGTGGTTGAGACATTCTGGGTAGCAGGGACAGTTGAGCAATGGCAGAGAGGCTGGAAAGTCAGAGGCTTCACTCACTCATTCATTCATTCATTCATTCATTCAGAAATGCTTATTGTGTGACGATGAGGGCACCAGGGAGACGGCAGCAAACATGACCATTCACCGCTCATGGAGCTTTATAGTCAGTGGGGGACACAGCACAGCACACGAAGCAGCTCAGCAGAAAGTCCTGAGGGGAGGGCCAGGGGTGAGGAGGGCCGGGGGATCAGGATAGAGGCATGATTGGGCCTGGGGCACGGGGAAGGCTCCCGTGGTGACATCCTTACTGAGACTTGAAGGATGAGTGGGACTCATCCAGGAGAGGAGGAAAGGAAGACAGAAGGACTCGTCGCATTCCAGGCAGAGGCAACAGCACGTTCAAAGGGCCTGAAGTAGGCAAAAGCAGGTGTGAGAAAGGAAAAGGCACAGGAGGTGGGGCCGGAGAGGGGAGCAGGGCCAGGAAGAGTCTGCTGGGTGCATTATCCTGAGGGCAGACGGAGCCCCAGAAGGGCTGGAGAATAGGGTCTGCCTGGGGACAGAGGCCTTGATTGCCTGACTCAGGAATGTGGCCTCTAGGCAGCTACTGAAGTGCAGAGACTTGGCACCTGGTAGGACACTGGATGACTACCCTGTGACCACCCTAACCCTAGAAAAATGGATGGTGTCCTAGGTATGAAGGTATTCTTCAGAGCCATTCCTCTTTTGGTATCCACCTATTTTCCAGATGGTGACACTGAGGCTCAGGAAGCAGTAGGGTCTTGGCCAAAGCCCTTTTGGAGGCAGGCTGGGAGACAGTGGAGGGGTTGTCTGTGAGCCTCAGGGAGACACAGGACCTTGGCTCTGTCTTTCCCCTCCCTTCCAGAATATGCTGCCATCAACTCCATGTTGGACCAGATCAACTCCTGTCTGGACCACCTGGAGGAGAAGAACGACCACCTCCACGCCCGCCTCCAGGAGCTGCTGGAGTCCAACCGGCAGACACGCCTTGAGTTCCAGCAGCAGCTCGAGGAGGCCCCCAGCGATGCCAGCCCCTAGGCTCCAGGAGCCCCCAGCCAGGCCCCAACTCTGCCTCCTTGGGCCAGGCTCTGGCCTGGGCACGCACCTCCTGGCTTAGATACCTTCTCAAAGGCTGGCCTTTGGTGGGTCTGCCTGCCTGGGCCACTCCTCCGGCACTCCCCTTGGCCTGCCTGGGCCAGCCTCCACCACCTGACATCCCCTCCTGAGGCCAGGTGTGGGCCTGCACCCCACCCACTTCCTGCCTGCCGCACTCCTGGGCACTCCCCACTCTGCCCAGGCTTTGAGCGTCCACATTAAATGGGTCCCACCCCAGTGTGCCTCTCTCCTCTGTATCCCAGGATGAGGACCCCAGTGGCTGCTGGAGGGGAACAGGGCAGTCACAGTGCTCAGGCACTGGTCACACACCAGTGGCTGAGGGAGCGGGTGGTGGGCTGGGGTTCTTGGCTGCCAAGAAGGTGCAGGTGAGGTCAGGGCTCCTCGCATTTCTGGGCAGCAGCTGCTCCCCAGCCCAGCAGCCTGGCTGAGACTGTCAGACATGCTGCGTGACCCTGTATGATGCTCTCAGACTCTCTGGCTCCTTTAACTAGGGCATGCTGCACACTGCCCTTCCTTGGCATAGCCCTTGTGATCCTGGCCTGTGTCCTCAGCTGCCAGTAACAGGGCTGGTCTGCTGTCTGTCCCTACTGGTCTAATTGAGGAAACAGCAGAACTAAAGAGCCAACTCAGCCCGGGCCCATTTGCCGATGATTCACCTTAGGGTGTTCTGACGGGGGCAGGCCCTGCTAGTGAACCGAGAACTCAGAGCCAGAGGGCCTGAGCAGCGAGGACCCCACTCCTGCACCTCAGCCTCCGTGGGGTGCAGCTGGAGAGACAGACCAGCACAGGGCTCAGGCCCAGGCTCAAAGCCTGCCACTTACCACTGCTTGGCCTTCAGTGTGTCACTTGACCTTGCCAGGCCTCAGTTTCTCCATCTGTAATTTAAGGACAACAAGACTGCCTCCTAGGGTCATGGAGAAGATTAAATAAGATCTTACTTGAGGGTACTTTCCTAGCCCTGATACATTAAGAGGGAAACTGAGGCTCTGAGAGGTGAAGTGCCTCGTGATCCAGAGTCCCTGGTCCCAGGGAGCCCATCTTCAGCCTCTAGTTCTGCCGCCACACTGTGCAGAGGCTGAGAGCAGGCTGAGGCCATCCCCTTCCCCCTCCGCCCAGACAGCAGTGCTGGTGGGGACTGCACAGCCAAGCTACCTTCTTTTATTGGATTTTGAGTAAAAACAGGAACCATGTCAAAGTTTCCACACAGATCTGGCCCGGGGAATCCCTCTATCAGGTTTTGAGGCGGCTTGAGCGCCGGGGTGGTGGGGGCTGGGAGGGTGGGGCCGTCACCTTGCTGGGGGCTTTGGCTGTGTCCTGGGTGCTGGGCTGGGCGGGTGGGCGGCCGCCAGAGGTGAATAGCGCAGTCAAGGCGTTGCGGGCGTTGATGGCGCACCGGCGGCTCACCGGCCGGGTGGTGGGGCTGGGGTTCTTGGTCGCCTTGTGTTTCTGGACACAAAGGGTACAGGCAAGGTCAGAGCTTCTTCCCTATGTGTTGCACTCCAGCTGAGACAGTGCCAGTGTGCTGTGTGACCCTGTGACCACTCAGCCTCTCTGGGCCAGGCCTCTCGAGCTAACAGCCTGCCTCTCAGTACATTCCCCCTGGGACAATAACAGAAAGAGCCCAGCCCCATTCCAGTTCAGATGCCCTCCCTGTGGGTGGGGGCCAAGTGCTTGGGGGTAAGGCCAGGTATGAGAGGGAGGGGCTGTCAGCTCAGAGTCTGAGTCCCAGGGCAGGGGAGGATGGGAGGGGGACGTCCAGCTCACCTGCAGGTTCTCAAAGTGGGCCAAGGATTTGCAGTGGGACAGCTGTGCCCCTGAGTTGCTGTGGTAGAACTTGTGGCAGATGCGGCAGACGTAGCCCATCACGGGCACCAGGAAGTCCACACCTGCAGGACGGCTGGGTCTGTGCTCACATCCCTGGTCCCGGTCAGGTGTCCCACCCTCTCTAGGGGCCCACTTGCTCCCCTACCCCCTTGGTGGGAGCAGAGGAGGAGGGACCAGGGGCTAGGCTGCCTGGCCAGAATCCTGCAGCTGGGATCTGGGCGTCGCCTGCAGGCTGGGTCTGAGGGCTGCAGCCCCTGCAGGTGGGCTCAGCGCTGGGCCTTACCGTACGCGGTGTTGGGGCTGTAGGTCTCTGAGCCCTTCCACTCCTCTATGGATATATCTTTGGATCTCACCTGGAAACATGCAAGTGTGGGCCTCAGATCTGCCTTCCCCAGACCTCTCCCATATGCCAGTCAGGGGCCTGGAGCCCACCCATGCTGTTGGACACACCATCCCCTTGATTTCCAAGAGTCTAAGGGTGGCACTCTCTGAGCCTTTGCACATGCTGATCCTGCCCCCCAGAGTGCCCTTCCCCATCCATACTTTCTAGGTCTGCTCAATCAGCCTCCTCCTCCAGGAAGCCCTCCTGTTCCCACAGTGGCCATATTCCATGCGGGATATGCCCAACACATCATGTGTCATCATCTCACTGAATCCTCCTAACAACCCTCTGTGGCTACCCCATATTACGTAAGAAGAAACTGAGGCCCAGGGGCATTGGCTCACCTGACCAGGGTCACACAGCTGGTTTGTGGAGCAACTGGGCAGTGAACCCTGCTGAGCCCCAGCCAGAGTTCACGCTCTCAACCCTGAGTGCCCTGCCAGCTCCCTGCATTCCTATCTGGTGCTGCGGAGGTGGTTTCAGGTGATCAAGGAGCCTGCACCTCACCACCTGGATGTGACCCCTTCTGAATGAGGCCATCTGACTCTGGCCGTGTCAGCCCTCCTACGCCCAGCAGCGCCCTCCACACTCGCCAGGCAAACAAATGTGGCTTCTGAGGATGACGACGACTCCCATTCGCTGAGCCCTTCCTAGGCCTGAGCGCTGGGCTGCGGCCTTTCCTTACAGCCTAAGGTGGGATTGTTACTTCTGAGCAGAGGAAACTGAGGCTCGGAGAGGCCAAGTGGCTTGCCTGACCTTGCACTAGGGCTGCCCCGGCTGGCCCTCCTCACCCTGTTCTGTATCTGGGGCGACCTCTGTGAGGGCAAGGGCCAGGCTTTGGTCCTCATGTGTCCTTGTGCCCAGCCCCAGAACCTGGCCCAGAACAGGTGCTCCAGAAACACCGTTAAACTGCAGGGCGCCCAGCCCCCTGTGCGTGGGAGGCGCGCGGCTGCAGTGCGGAAAGCCAGGCTCTGCAGTCTCACGTCGCCACCCATCTGGTGAGGTTCCGCCGGACAGTGCTTGGTGCACACGCCTGGCGTGCAGTGAGTGCTCAAAAAAATGTCAGCTGATATCACCACCACCACGAGTGGCACCACTGCAGTCTCCCACCCCTGTGCCTCTACTGCTGCTGTTCCCGGGGCCCAGGGTGCCCTTCCCTTCTGCCACACAGGTCATACTTTCAGCCAGGCTTCAAGGCCCTTACATACTTTTAACTGCCATTCACATGGTCATATATGAGATAGTTCGGGTTAATAATAAACTGAGGCATGCACTAGTGCCCACGATGCCAGCACAGTGCCTGGTCCCTGAGAGGTGGGACGAGGGTCCTTCTGGGCTGAGAGTCTAGCCCCCAGCCTGCTTCCCATGCCCACTGCCCAGCACCTGCTTGCAGAATTCCTCCTCAACCTCGATCTCTTCTTCATCCTCATCATCATCCTCCTCATCTTCATCACCCTCAAAGCATCCCACGGCATCCACCGTGATGAAGTGGTCCTCGTCTTGGCCAGCTATCTCCTTCTCCAGAGTCTTCAGCTACCCAGGGAGGGGACAGGGGCTCAGCTCAGCTCTGGGCAGTCAAGGCCCCACGCCCTGCCCACCCCACCCCTCCAGACCCACTGTGAGTTTGGGCTGGGATAAACCCCAGCTAGCTGTGTGGCCTTGGCCAAGCCTCTTTACCTCTCTAGGCCCATGTCCCCCAAGGGAGTTGGGGTTACCTCTTTGGCTTTGTCCTTGTGCTCCTGGGACTTCACATGCTCCACAAACTTTCGAGGAGTCTTGAAGTAGCGGTTGCAAACAGTGCAGAAGGGTCGCAGGGATTGTTTGGCGATCTGGGGAAAGGAGGACAGGCCAAGTGGGTGCCAGGTGGTGTCCCCAGGTGCGAGCCCCTTGACTGGCAGCCAGGCATTGCCTCCCTCCGCAGCCCCACCATGTCTATAACAAACCTGTCTGTGCTCTGCCCTGCACCAGAACATAGACAAACATATCTCTTCCCTGCGTGGGTAGCTATGAGATGGGATGGCAACAGAGAGACAGGACAGACACAAAGTGAAGGCAGGAAAAAGGGCAGACACCCAAAGGACCCCCATGAGCTCCATGGCTGAATGGCAGGGGACAGATGGGGAACCTGAAGCCCAGTGAAGAAACATGACTGACGTATCCAGAAACCACACCGTGAGTCATGCAGAGACAGAGACCAACATTTGCTTTCTGCTCCCAACTCGGGGCTCCCTCCTTCCCAGCAGGTGCCTATGCAGCGTGCCGGCCCTCCTACCTTGTGGTCCTGTGTCCTGCGGTGTTGGATCAGGTCCCCCATGTAGTAGAGCTGGCAGGTGTTGCACCAGCGCCTTGGTGGAGGGTCTCTGAATGATGACAGTCAAAACGGGTACAATGTGATACTATGTTCTGGTTGGAAAGACAGCAGCCATCCCAGATTGCTCCATAAATGTAATGCAATTCCAATTGCAATTCCAGCAGGATCTTTTTTGAAACTTAACAAAATGGTTCTGAGGTTCATCTGAATGAACACTCAAGCAAGGATAACCAAGGAAACTTTGGGGTAAGGGGCATGAAATTTAGGAGCATTTGGGATACCAGCCATTAAAATTAAAACCATGAGCTACAATAGTTAAAATTGTGTAACGTGATGTACACCCTGACAGTGTAGCAATGGGAAAGAACAGAAAGTCCTAAAAAGGTTCAAATATTGACAAGAATTCAGCTTCTGATAAGTTGGTATTAAGAAGCATAGATTGGCCGGGCGTGGTGGCTCACGCCTGTAATCCTAGCACTCTGGGAGGCCGAGGCAGGCGGATTGCTCCAGGTCAGGAGTTCGAAACCAGCCTGAGCAAGAGCAAGACCCCATCTCTACTATAAATAGAAAGAAATTAATTGGCCAACTAATATACATACAGAAAAGAAAAAAATTAGCCGGAGCAATGGTGGTGCATGCCTGTCATCCTAGCTACTCGGGAGGCTGAGGCAAGAGGATCGCTGGAGCCCAGGAGTTTGAAGTTGCTGTGAGCTAGGCTGACGCCACGGCACTCACTGTAGCCTGGGCAACAAAGTGAGACTCTGTCTCAAAAAAAAAAAAAGAAGCATATGGCCGGGCGCGGTGGCTCACGCCTGTAATCCTAGCTCTCTGGGAACGGCCGAGGCGGCGGCGACGGATTGCTCCGAGGTCAGGAGTTCGACACCAGCCTGAGCAAGAGCGAAACCCGTCTCTACTATAAATAGAAGGAAATTAATTGGCCACGTAATATATGCACAAAGAAAAATTAGCCGAGTATGGTGGCGAATGCCTGTAGTCCAGCTACCTTGGGGGAGGCTGAAGGCAGGAGGATTGCTCGAGCCAGGAGTTTGAGGTTGCTGTGAGCTGGCTGACGCCACGGCACTCACTTAGCCTGGGCAACAAAGCGAGACTTCTGTCTCAAAAAAAAAAAAAAAAAAAAAAAAAAAGGCATAGATTATACAATAAGTTATGTCAGGACAATTTGCTGTCCACTTGAAGAAAGAAACCTTTTTTTTTTTTTGAGACAGAGTCTCGCTTTGTTGCCCAGGCTACAGTGAGTGCCCTGGCGTCAGCCTAGCTCACAGCAACCTCAAACTCCTGGGCTCAAGCAATGCTCCTGCCTCAGCCTCCTGAGTAGCTGGGATGACAGGCATGCACCACCATGCCCGGCTAATTTTTTCTATATATATTAGTTGGCCAATTAATTTCTTTCTATTTATAGTAGAGACGGGGTTTCACTCTTGCTCAGGCTGGTTTCAAAACTCCTGACCTCGGAGCAATCGCCCACCTTGGCCTCCAGCAGTGCTAGGATTACAGCGCATGAGCCACGCGCCTGCGAGAGGAAAGCTTTGTCCCCTTCTGCCTACTTCAAAATAAATTCTATCTGGACTACTAGAGAGTCAGGTGTAAAAATCAAAACCAGACTGGATGCGGTGGCTCACGCCTGTAATGCTAGCACTTTGGAAGGCTGAGGTGGGAGGATCACTTGAGATCAGGAGTTCAAGACCAGCCTGGGCAACATAGTGAAATCCTGATTCTTAAAAAAAAAAAAAAAAATTAGCTGGGATTGATGGTGCCCGGCTACTAAGGAGGCTGAGGCAGGAGAATCACTGGAAAAAAACACCCATCAAACCATTTACTTTAAAAAATGAAGGACAACTATTTATACACATTTATATAATCCTGGGTTGGGGCAGATCATTCTACATATAACATCAAAGCCAGAAATCATAAAGGAAAAATTACATAGAATTAAAACTTGTACACATTGCAAAATGTCACAAAGCCCTGGTAAGAACCCTGTCATGGAGGGCTGTTCAGAGATATGGGAAGTATTCACATATGTCGGGTGCCATGATTCTAACTTTTATCTTTTTAGAGATTGCACAAACACAGGACCATGGGATAAGCTAGGTCAAAATGTGATATTCTTTATCTCCGGGCAATGGGGTTATGGGCAATTTTTATCTTCTTGTGTGTCTGTGTTCTTGTATTTTCCAAATCTTATACAATGAACAAATTGTTTTCATAATCATAAAAAAAATTTTAAATTCAAAAAAAGGCACATCTGGCCGGGCGTGGTGGCTCATGCCTGTAATCCTAGCATTCTGGGAGGCCAAGGCAGGAGGATCACTCAAGGTCAGGAGTTCGAAACCAGCCTGAGCAAGAACGAGACCCCATTTCTACTAAAAATAGAAAGAAATTAATGGCCAGCACTAAAATATATAAGAAAAATTAGCCGGCATGGTGGCGATGCCTGTGTGCCAGCTACTCGGGAAGGCTGAGGCACCAGGATCGCTTGAGCCCAGGAGTTTGAGGTTGCTGTGAGCTAGGCTGACACCACGGCACTCTCTAGCCTGGGCAACAGAGTGAGACTCTGTCTCAAAAAAAAGAAAAGAAAAAGGCACGTCAACCACATAGCATGGGTAACAGGCTTAAGGGTTTAGGTACACTTATTGTCCTCACCAAAATCCTTATTTTTTTCTTTTTTTGAGACAGGGTCTTGCTCTGTCACATGGGCTAGAGCTGGCCCTGCCCACCTACGCCTAGGAGACAGCATTTATTAGAGAGGCTGTCTTACAACAATGCTGTCCCCGGGATCCAGCTGCAGTCCTCACCTTCCCAGTGACATGTGCCAGAAACACCGCTCCGTTTTGCTCAAGCCAATTAGTGTCTTACAGAAATTAGAGTTTCTCTCACAACTGCAGAAGATCCCATCTGATGCAAGAGGACAGTATCAATGTGCACATGCTGGGGACCAAGGGGAGGGTTATTTTGTTTTACAAATTGTTGTTTGCACTGCAGTGCAGCGGGGTACTGACAGATATGTGGCTCTGATTACCACAGCAGGTCCAGGAGGCCACCATCATGGTGACACAGCTGAGGATACATGACCTTGAAAACTCCTATTTACCCTTCAGTGTAGATGCCCTGCTTATCACTAGGCTTTTCTTGACCCTCCCCCATTCCTGGAGCTGTCCCCATCCCAGTAAGCCCCATTGGGGATCCAAAATGCCACTGCCATACCATTTTCCCACGATGGATTGAGAGGACCTGATCCCCCCTCTGCCCCACTGGACCCCATCCTGGAATCCCCAGGGCCCAGCTCGGGATCCGCCCAGAGTTTCTGACTGTGCTAGGTGACAGAGGGACAGGAAGCCTATTGGAAAAGCTGTCATGTTCTTCAAGGCTTGGGAATGGGGAGCAGGAGAAGTCATCGTACGGGAGATGCTCGATGAATCCCCCCACCTGAAGCTTGTTAACAGCCTGCTCTATGTCCTGCTAGTTTTCTTGCGTGTCACAGTATCTATTTCTATATAGTCAAGCTCATTCTGCATGTGCAATTTTGAATCCTGTTTTACCCTGACATTGCATCATGTTTCTGCATTATTATAAATGCATGGCAAGTGTCCTATTTATTGGTTGTTCCACCAAGTGGACAGGCCTTAACAGATCCAACCAATCCCCTCATTTTGGATATATTAGATCATTTCCAATTAGGCGTTTTCATCATTATATGAACTGCAAAGAAAATCTTTGTGATTCACTTTTTTCCTGTGTTTGTGATTATTTCACGTAAGTATAAAAGAACTTAAGAAAGCTCTTCTCAAAGGCAGAACTGGGTAACAGAGCCACAAGCTGCCACTGCAGAGGAGCTCCCTGTCACGTGCAAGCAGAGGTCAACCAAGAGCCCTTCCTATTCCTTCATCTCCACTTGGGGAGCTTCAAACCGTGACCTCTGTAAACTGAGAGTCCCTGACCAGTGACTCAAGGGACTGTCCAATTTAGCCTCCATAGGATTCTGAACTAGCTGTTAACATTTTGAAATCAATAGATTTCACATACAGATCTGGATTTCCAGATTCTTTTTAAAGAAAACTAGTAGAAAGAAGAGCTAAGAGGCAGCTGTCCTGTAAGACAGGTCATATCCCACAGGTGGCCCGAGGCAATACTGTCCTGCTGCTCTGATGACACCTCCCAGACCCTGTAGGCCTCTGTGACTGACCACAGGGTCCTGAAAGCTCCTCCAGCTTCCCAGAAAGCCTTCTTTTTTTTTTAATTTTTAGACAGAGTCTCACTTTGTTGCCCAGGCTAGAGTGAGTGCCATGGCATCAGCCTAGCTCACAGCAACCTCAAACTCCTGGGCTTAAGCAATCCTGCTGCCTCAGCCTCCCGAGTAGCTGGGACTACAGCATGCGCCACCATGCCGGCTAATTTTTTCTCTATATATATTAGTTGGCCATTAATTTCTTTCTATTTATAGTAGAGACGGGGTCTCGCTCTTGCTCGGGCTGGTTTCGAACTCCTGACCTTGAGCAATCTGCCCGTCTTGGCCTCCCAGAGAGCTAGGATTACAGGCGTGAGCCACCGCACCCAGCTCCAGAAAGCCTTCTTACCCCAAGAACTAGTCCCAGACTCCAAGGGACTAAAGTTTCTGATCAACCAAGCCCCCATGACAATGGGAGGGAGAAACGTAAGGAAGTCCTACCCTCCGGCCACAAGATGAATTATCCTCACCATGGGGCCCCCTTGGCTGGGGTTGGCACACATGCCAGGGGAACAGCGGTCTGTGCCACAACCTACCCTCTCCCATGACGGTGGTCACACTGTTCCTCCCTGGATAGAGCCATGAGAGGCTGTCGTTAATTCCTGCACTACACCGCTCACCAGGCCATTTCACAGATGGGGAAAACTGAGGTTCAAGGTCACAAAGAGACTGGTATGAAGAGGCCTGGGTGGGAAGGGCAATGCTCAACCTAAAGGCAAACTGTGCAGATGGCAGATTCAAGCCTGTTCCATGAGATTGTCCACCCCCCCAGCAAAGAACTTCCACGACCCCCCACTCACTCGGACTCTCTCTCCAGGACATCACGGGGCACGGGCAGCAGGGACAACAGGCAGGCCTGGCTCATGTGCTGGATCTCCCCAAGCCGCTGCTGGTGCTGAGCGTCCGACATGTGGTCCTGGAACTCCTGCAGTGGGGGGAGGGGGGAGCGAGGGTGGGCAAGGCTGGGCCTGGGGAGGGAGACTCCAGCCTCAGCCTCACCACCGGAGGTACTTCTCTCGCTGCAGCCCTGCGCAGGCTGAGCAGGCAAAGCGAGCACCCAGCAGCCTGGCTCGCCTCCGGGCCTCTGCGGCTCTGCTCAGGCTAGGCACAGGGTACAGAGGTAACCACTGCAGTAGCAGTAATAATACAAGTGCGATGCTGTTATTATTACTGCTGTGCTCACTTCAGACCAGGCCTGGGCTCATGACTCCAATATCAAGTTGCCAAGTCCCCAGATCCACCCAATGAGGTGGCTTCCAAATGTCCCTTTGTCTGATGCAAGAGGAAACTGAGGAATGGGGGTGGGATTCAGAGGCCCACACAGCTGTTCAGAGCCAATTTGAAACAGGTCTGCCTGATTCTAAAACCCTGTCTCCTTGGTTGTTCAGGAAATGTTTTGGTGCAAATGCCCAACTGGGCTCGAGTGCCCAGTGCTACCATGGGCAGCTGGGGAAGGGCTGGCTGGACACCCCATGGAGACTCTCAATGCTCCCCCAGCACCCTCCCACCCGGCCTGGCTTTGCATACCTGCTGGCTGGCGCAGTTGGCCTTGCAGATGTAGCAGAAGAACTGGAGGGCCTGCTTAGCGGGAGCACTGGCAGCCGCAAGGGTGGTGGAGCTGGAGTCGCCAGGACGGGGCCCCGGTGTGAGGGGTGCGGTGCTAAAGGCCCGGCTGTCACTGCTCTGGAGGATGGTGACCTTCAGGGAGCCCCCGGCACCCCACACCTGCACCGGGAGCAGGAGCAGCATTTCCACCAGCTGGGCGCTTACGGCGGGCCAGCCCCGCACTAAACATCTGTGAGCATTGCCTCATCAGACCTTCCTGATGGGGAAACTGAGGCTCTGAGATGTCAAGTGACTGCCCTGGCTCACACGGCTAGGACATGTTATAGTCAGGATGGGAACTCAGGTCCACCTACCTCTAACAGCCACCCTGCCCCTACTCATGTGACAGATGGGGAAACCGAGACCGAAGTAGGGAATGGGTTTGCCTGTGGGTTCGCTCTGATGCTGAGGGACCCGAGCCCCACAGAGTAGCTTCCATGCCGCGCACTCTCCACAGGACCACTGTTACCCGTGTGAGGGGACCAGGGCTCTAGCCTGTGGATGGGCAGGTGGGAAAGGACTCCTGTCACCTGATGTACCCCCAGGTCTTTGAAGCAAGAGCAAAAGAGTCCCACACGGACCCAGCACCATCAAACCCAGTCTGGTCTGCCCATGTGCCCCAGGCAGAGGGCTGCTGTACCATTTCACAGGTGAGGAAACATCGGGGACCCTGAGGTGACCTGGAGCAGCAAGGGGCCTCCCCACTGCTGGGCCCTGTGGCCCTAATGCTGCCACATCAACACCTCGACCCACCCCTAGCATCTCTCTCGCTCTTTTTTCACATTCGCCCACGTCCAGGCCGCTGGCTGCTTCCTCCCGGCTCTCTCCCACGCAAGCCTGGGTGCCCGCTGGCTCTGGCGAGGCCTTCTCCGACCCTGAAATGACAGATGAGCTCAGTTTCCCAAAGTGCGCCTCCCACCCTGGCCCCAGAGGGACCCGAGCCCAAGAGCTGCCTTCTCTGCCCGCAGCCAGGACCTTGAAACCCCTGGCGTGGGTGGCCTTGGACCTGGGTTCCAGGCCCAGCCCTCAGCCACAAGCTGTGCTGGGAGAAACGAAGGGCCCAGGCAGAGATGTCCCATCACCAGACGGGCTAGAAGCCCGTGCTCACTCACCTCCTCCGCCTTCCGCTGTATCAGGAGGCGTTTCCCGCACGGTGCTGTGAGCTGGTGCTTGCTCTGGTGCCCGCACAGACTCCCGCGGCTGGGTCTGAGGCTGCGCGTGGACCTGCTCTGGTGGCTGCACTGGCGCCTGTGCTGAAGGATGCTCTGGTGGCTGCTCCTGTGGCTGGACCCCTGGCTGTGCTTGTGTATGCACCTGTGGATACGTCTGTGTCTGGGCCTGCTTCTGCAGCTGCAGCTGTACAGGGGGCTGTGACTGTGCCTGTGGCTGCATCTGTTTCTGTGGCTCTGCCTCCTGCTGTAGCGGCACCTGCCTTGCCAGCTGTGAATGTGCCTGTGGCTGCACCTGTGGCTGTACCTGCTTCTGTGGCTCTGCCTCCTGCTGTAGCGGCACCTGCCTAGGCGGCTGTGAATGTGCCTGTGGCTGCACCTGTGGCTGCACCTGCTTCTGAGGCTCTGCCTCCTGCTGAGGCTCTGGCGGCACCTGCTTCTGCTGTGGCACGAAGTGCTCTGGAGAGGTCTGTGTTTGTGCCTGCTTCTGCAGCCTCGGCTGCACCTGGGTGTCCACTGGTAGCATCCGTGGCTGAGTCTGTGGTTGCCCCTGGGCCTGGATCTGCAGGACCCGTGGCTGGAATCGTGGCAGCACGCAGGCTTCCAGGGGCTCAGGCAGCAGCTCTGGCGTCTGTGTCTGTTTGGGTACTGTCATCCGGGCCTGTGGCTGGACCTTCGCCTGTAGCTGCCCTGGGGGCCCCTTCTCTGTGGGCTCCTCTGAGCTAGGAAGGAGCAAAAGAAAGTCAAAGCCATGTATTCCAGGAGGCCCAGGGCTTCCAAGAAAGGCTAAGACCCAGTTTCCAATGCTAACTCTACCACTTACAGGCTGGAGGATTTGGGCAAACTCCTTTGGCTCTCTCGGCCTCAGTTTCACCTCAGTAAATGGGGGAGGACTGTCCTCACCTCCCACAACTTGCTAACATCTATCCAATTAGCCCTGTAACCCCACCCACCCTCTGCAGTCCCAGATGAACATCATCAACCCCCAACCTGGCCACCCAGCCTGGCCTCTGGGGGCTCAGTCCCAAGGAAGACGCCAGAGTCTGGCTTGGAGCCTCCCCAGGAAAGGTGCAGGAATAAGTCTGACCTTCCTCCAAGCCAGAACCCAAGGCCCCTTCCTTGCTCCAGCTCCACTGAAGGGCGCCACCTCTGCCACCCCACCCCTGCCTCTGCAGGAATGGGAGTGCAGGGCACCAGGCCCGGGGTAGGTTTTTGGCATCAGTTACCTCTTCATCCTCTTGGCTGGCGGCTCAGATACCTCACAAGGCTCAGGCCCGGGTGCTGGCGTGCATCTCTCCTTAGGGATGTCATCTGGGCAGGGGGGTGAACCTTGGTCTGGAGGGGAGGCAGGACAGGGAGGGAACACAGATGCCGCGTAGAACGTGTCTGAGCTCTGGGAGACGGGGCCCGGGCTCGACCTCCCCGTCAACCAAGAACCCCTCATCCCATATCTGCCTGCACCACCTGCAGACCCTGCACCCACCTGCCCAACCCACGTCCCTCTGGAGGGCCGCAGTCTCCTCCTCACCTCGTGGTGGGCTTGCTCGGAGCTCTACGGCGTCCTCAGACCCCTCGGGGGGGTCTGAATGGTCTTCCACAGGCATGGTCTGAGAAGAAGAATCCTGCTTCCTTTCAGAAACTAGTTTTGACATCTGCCACCCACCCCTGTAAATACCCCCTTGCCCAAGAGTGGCTACAAGAGTCCCCCAGAGGAGGAAGGGGCCCAGGCGGGCCCCTCTGGTGGGCGCGGCCTCAGGGCCACCAAGCAGATGATTGTAAAAACTCCAGGAATCATGTCTAGAGGGTTTCACCTTAGTTGCCCATTAAATAGCCCAGGTCTGGGGGACACAGCCTTCTCCTGGCCCTCGGTGCTGCCTCGATTTCCCACCCCTTTCCCCACAAAGCAGCCAGAAACCCCCTTCCAAGTACAAACCCGATCACGCCTCTTGTCTCTACCAGGTTAAAGCCGGCTTGGGGCTTCCTGGAGTCCTGAAGTACTCCTTACCCCAAGCTAGAAAACACCTTCTCCGTGCCCGACCCCTGCCCCGGCAGCCTCAGCTACCCCCACTTGCCACCCCCCCCCCGCTCGTCCACACTGGCCTTCTCTCTGGTCCAGCCCCAGGCCGCTGCTCCCTGCCCCCAGGCTTCGCCCAGAGTCTCAAAGGCGGCTCTTACAAGAAGCCCTCATGACTCCAGACTAGTACAGGTCCCCAGAAGGCTTTTGGTGTCCTTTTTGTGGCATTTTCCAGTCTTAAATAAATGGTTGGAGCATTATTTTCATTAATATCGCTGACCCCCACTCCCATCCCTACCTGGCAGGCCAGGTGCATCACCTGCACCACCGAGTGCCCTGCAGGGGCCTACAGACATCTGCTCAATGAACACGTGGCTCTGGCCATTTCCTGCATCCCAGTAAGCTCCCAGGAGCCTGCAGCCTCCCTCCCTCCCTCCCTCCCTCCGTCCAGCTAAGCCCGAGGAACCAGCCCCGAGCAGGGAATGGCAATCTGTACAGCACCTCAGGACTCTGTGCATTTCTGAAGCTACCCAGCTGTCACCCTGCACGACACAGGCACTGGCCCAAGAGTTAGGAGGCCTGGGCTCTGCGTCTGCCTCGACAGCTGTGCAGCCCAAGGCAAGCCCCAGCCCACCCCAATCTCTGAACCTCAGTTTTCCCGTATGTAAAACCGGCAGGGCAGGTTGGACACTAGACATGACCATGTTATGACAGGCCCAAGGCAGCCAGGAAAGGGTGTGTTGCCCCTGCCCCAGAATGCACTGAGGAGCAGGGCATGAGCGAGGAACTGCAGGGACCTTCAGGGACAGGACAGTCTGGGGAGGCGGCGATTCCCTTTGCAGACTTTCTGCTTACGTCAGGGAAAGGTTTAGCACCTCTCAGACACTCAGAGAGCCCCAGAGCTGCAGGTTGGAAGCTTTAGATGGCAACAGTGTATAGCTTGGGATTTTATAACATTGTTCTACCCTCACTTACTGTCCTTATACTTCTATGTATGGCAATTCATTTAGATAGTTTTTAAAATTTCAGGTTGTGATATAACATTTCCTTTTAAAATAAATGTAACTAAAATAAATGTAACTAAAAAGAAGCCAGTTCATTTCAAGCCTGCTGTCAGCGCAGTAGCCAGCAGTCACATGCAAGCACTTGAAACAGGGCCAGTCTGAATTGAGAGGTAAGTATAAGAGCATACACAGAGGCTGGGCGCAGTGGCTCATGCCTGTAATCCTAGCACTCTGGGAGGCTGAGGTGGGCGGATGGCTCTAGGTCAGGAGTTCAAAACCAGCCTAAGCAAGAGCGAGACCCCGTCTCTACTAAAAATAGAAAGAAATTGACCAACTAAAAATATATACACAAAAAATTAGCCGGGCATGGTGGCGCATGCCTGTAGTCCCAGCTACTCGAGAGGCTGAGGCGGCAGGATCGCTTGAGCCCAGAAGATTGGGGTTGCTGTGAGCTAGGCTGACGCCACAGCACTCTAGCCTAGGCAACAGAGTGAGACTCTGTCTCAAAAAAAATAAATAAATAAATTAAAAAATAATATATAATACTTCATTCATTTTTTATATTGATTACAGGTTGAAATGATAACTTTTTTTTTTTTAAAGAAACAAGGTCTCCCTCTGTCACACAGGTTGGAATACAGTATCCAGGACTACAAGAGTATACTACCACTCCCAGCTAGTTTTTTCTATTTTTATTTTTATAGAGAAAAGGTCTTGCTATGCTATCTAATCTGGTCTCGAACTCCTGGCCTCAGGCAATTTTTCTGCCCTGGACTCCCAGAGCGCTGAGATTATAGACATGAGCCACCATGCCCGGCCAATAATTTTTTTATATATTTTGTTAAATAAAATATATTAGCAATGTTCATTTCACCCATTTCTTTCTTTCTTTTTTATTTATTTATTTATTTATTTTTTTGAGACGAGTCTCACTCTGTTGCCAGGGTTAGAGTGTCGTGGCATCAGCCTAGATCACAGTAATCTCAAACTCCTGGGCTCATCAATCCTCCTGCCTCAGTCTCCCAAGTACCTGGGACTACAGGCAAGCGGCACCATGCCCAGCTAATTTTTTCTAATCTTAGTTGTTTGGCTAACTTCTTTCTATTCGTAGTAGAGACAGGCTCTCACTCTTGCTCAGGCTGGTCTCAAACTCCTGAGCTCAAGCAATCCTCCCGCTTCAGCCTCCCAAAGTGCTAGGATTACAGGTGTGAGCCACCGTGCCCGGCCACATCCATTTCTTTTTATTTTATTTATGTGTTTACTAGAAGATTTTAAGTTACATGTATGGTTCACATTTTATTTCCACTGAGCAGCCTGATTTTAAGAGAAATATTAAGTAAAGAATAGAACTGCTGGTGTTTGGGCATGGCAAAAGTCTCATGCCAGTGGTATAGGACTATATGAAGTTTGGGAAATGTTATATAAGCCCCTGCCACTCGGTTTACAGGTGAGGAAACTGAGGCACAAAGAGGAAGTGCAACCTGCCCAAAGGCCCAGGATGATCCCGAGTGGGTGGAGGTGGCCCTGATGCCCAGGTGTGCCCTCTCCCACTCCCATCCACACCTGCTCCAGCCCAGCCACCACTTACCTTGCGATTGGGGGTAGTGGAGGAGGGGGTCCGGGCCTGTTTCTGGGGGGCCCGCCCTGAGAGGTTGAGCTGAGATGGGTTAATGGGGACCCCAACAGGAGGGGGACCCAGGAGGGACTGGCGAGTAGCCTGGGGAAAGAACTGCTGCAAATTTGGAGTGGCCAGCTGGGGGGGTGTGAGGCTGGGGGCTGTCAGGCTCGGGGTTGCCATGCTGTAGCCTCGGAAGTTACCTGTGGACAAGAAGAGAGAAGAAGAAGGGTCACACTGTGGTCAGGTGGCAGAGGCTAGGGTCAGGGTTCAGTCCCCCAGAGCATTATGGGAATATCACAGATAACTTTGAAAGGGACCCTTCCCACCCAAGGGCAGCGAGAGGGAAGAGATGAGAGCTGAGGCTCACTGTGGGTGTGGTGGCAAGGGAGGCTTTAGGGCTGTTTCTCTGCTCCAGTAGGAGTGGAGGGGTACTGCCTTTTCCCTCTCAGATACCTCCCAGTCAGCAGCTGAGCACCCCCAGCAGCCATGCTCTAGGGCCTGCCTTAGGGCGTGTGAGACACCTGGCACAGCACCCACAGAGAGTACCAGCAAGATGGCTGGTCCCTGGGAAGGGAACCCCAATAAGACACTCCTCCCCCCACCAGCCACCCTTCCTTAAAGGCCAATGACAAGGCCGGGCGCGGTGGCTCACGCCTGTAATCCTAGCTCTCTGGGAGGCCGAGGCGGGTGGATTGCTCCAGGTCAGGAGTTCAAAACCAGCCTAAGCAAAAGCAAGACTCCGTCTCTATTATAAATAGAAAGAAATTAATTGGCCAACCAATATATATAGAAAAAATTAACCGGGCATGGTGGCACATGCCTGTAGTTCCAGCTACTCGGGAGGCTGAGGCAGAAGGATCGCTTGAGCCCAGGAGTTTGAGGTTGCTGTGAGCTAGGCTGATGCCACGGCACTCACTCTAGCCTAGGCAACAAAGCGAACCTCTGTCTCAAAAAAAAAAAAAAAAAAAAAAAAGGCCGATGACAAGCCAGGCACTGTGCCAAGCAGTTCCATGCGTCCATATACTGCCCCAGTCACCTGGCCCAGCAAGCATCAGGGTAGGTTTTATTTCTACCAGTGACAAAGGAGACACAGAGTAGAGAAATAGCTTGCCCCCAGTCCCCATGAAGGGCACTGCCATCCACCCACTGGCCCTGGCCAGGATACCAGGGAGCTCCAGATTCCTCCTTCTCTTTACCCTACTCCTATCCTAGCCACCCCAAATCCTATCGCCTCTCCTACGCCTCTTCCCCTCTCGGTTCCCACTCCCACCTGCTCCCTTCCAAAGCCACTTCATCCCTTGTCTGAATTTCAGCCACACCCTTCACACAGGGTGGTTGCAAACAGTGGTCTTTCCAAAACCATATTCTGATCTACTCCCTCCTCTGCCCAAAACTGCTTCACAGTTCCCTGCTGCTCAGGAACAAAGCACATTCCTCACTGTGCCAGGTTTGGCCCTGCCCACCTCCCCGGCCTCCTTTCTTGCCATTCTCCCCGCATGTGTCCCCACTATATTCCAGTAATATGTCCCTGTGCAGTCCTTCAAACATCCTGCCTCAGGGCCTTTGCACATGCTGTTCCCTCTGCCTGGGCTGCTCTGCCCTACTAACTCCCAGCCATCTTTCAGACCTCCCTTCAGGTGGCTTTCCTCCAGGAGGCCTTCTCAGACTCCCCCTGTTTCCCCACAAGCCCCAGCTTCCCTGCCCTAGGACCAGCTGCATAATTTCCTTATCTGCCTCCTGCTACACCTCATCTGACTCAGCTCCACACCTCAGGGAAGGCCAGAGCTTGAGAAGTGTGTGAGGCACGAAAGACAGTTAGAACTCTTGTCCTGAAGCTGAATCCGGAAGCACGGGGCTTAAAGGCATGGGTCAGCTGTGCTGTGAGAGCTAGGTTCACATCCAGACTCTACAGCACGAGCTCTGTGACCTGGAGCAAATCAGTTTCCCCTTCTTAGCCTGAGTTCCCTCATCTGTAAAATGGGGATGATAATAGTGCTTGCCTCACAATGTGTTAAGAGGATTCGATGAGATGTACAAATGTGCCTGGTATATAGTAAGTGTTCAATTAACCTTAATTTGAAACAAACATATATTCACATATGTGCCTAGAGAGCCAACCAGCTCTTAAAAACAAGACAAAAGATGAAACAGCCTAAAAGAAAAATGGACATAGGACATGGACAAGTCACAAAAAGAAATACAAATGTTTAACAGACAAATATAAAATATTCAACTGCACTAGCATGCCAAGAAATGTAAATTCAAACATTAATGATACAGCTTTTTTTGCCAACGAATTTCATAAATTATATGTATATATACATTTATATATATAAAAAAGCATATAATACCCAATGTTGCCGTGGGCATGGTGAGACCGGCACTGTCATACGTGGCTGGTGGCATTGCAAACTGGTCCAGTCCTTTAGGAAAGCAATTTGGCAATACTTATCAAGAGCCATAAAACATCCATCCCCCCTGACTCAGTCAGAACATAGTCTCAAACATCATATTCATCCTATTGTTATTTAAAATAGCCAAAAAAAAATCAAATAAACAAAACAAGAAAAAGAAAGAAAGAAAAAAACCCAAAACAGATGAATAACTGACAAGGTTTACATAAGCAACAGCACACCCCCAAGTGGGATGTTAAATAGTTATTAAAAGTAATCTTGGCAGAGACTGTCATATCATACAGTAAGTGATCATGCCATTCTATTCAGTAAAAAAGAAACAATATCTAGCCTCTCACTTATAGCAATCATAGTAATCACATACGAATCCCAAGTCTGTGGCTAGAAAAAATGGGAAGAAATACACTGAAATACTGACTGGTGACTTTCTTCGGGAGGTGAGTAAATCTACAGATGACAGCTTGCATTTTCCTATCCCTTTTTTAAAAAAATTTTGGGCCGGGCGTGGTGGCTCACGCCTGTAATCCTAGCTCTCTGGGAGGCCGAGGCGGGTGGATTGCTCGAGGTCAGGAGTTCGAAAGCAGCCTGAGAAAGAGCGAGACCCCGTCTCTACTATAAATAGAAAGAAATTAATTGGCCAACTAATATATATAAAAAAAAAAAAATTAGCCGGGCATGGTGGCGCATGCCTGTAGTCCCAGCTACTCGGGCGGCTGAGGCAGAAGGATTGCTTGAGCCCAGGAGATTGAGGTTGCTGTGAGCCAGGCTGACGCCACGGCACTCACTCTAGCCTAGGCAACAAAGCGAGACTCTGTCTCAAAAAAAAAAAAAAATTTTTTTTGTTTTTCACTTTGAAGAGTGTGATTGTAAAATGAGAAAAAAAAGGGGGGGAAGATATGTATATATATGCTATCAGTCCTGTGTGTGGTTTTCTCTCCCACCCAGGACCATCCACACCCATGTGGCCCTGGTAGGGCTGAAGAGCGATGACCATCTAATCAACACCTACGTACTATGTGACCTTGGGCACATGCCCCTCTCTGGGCCTCAGTTTCTTCATCTTTAAAATGAGATTGTGGGTATACTTCCCTTTAGGGTTATCAGCAGGATCTTGAAAGGAAGAACTGACACTGCTCTCCACATGGGGAAACTGAGGCAAGGCCACAGCTAAGTGCACAGGACTAAAGACAACTGCACAGGGATCCAGGTGGTCAGGAGGCCCAGGCCTTAATCCAGTTCAGCCACTGCTGATGCTGTGTGACCCAGGGCAAATGCCTTCCCTTCTCAGCTTCCTCATCTGTCAAACGGCATCTAATCTGAATGTGAGTGATGTGTGTCGAGTACTGCCTTAAGAGCCAGCACCATGGCCAAGGGCACACCTCTGCAATCAGACAGCCCTGTGCTGGGCTCAGCAGCTTCGGAACTTTTACCTCCTGGAGCTTCATTGTCCTCCTTTGTAAACAGGGTGCTGAGAGTAGCTGCCTCTCAGGGTCACTGCGTGGATTTAGTGAGATTTATGCAATGGGCCTGCTGAGAAGCTACCACTAAAATAGACAGAAGGGGCCCACAGCCATACCTTGCAACTGCTGCAAGAGCAAAGCTCTCTGCAGCACAGAGCCGTTGAGGAGGGAGGCCGAGTTGGTGCCCTGGAGACTCAGAAACTGCTGCTGTGGCTGCTGCTGGGGGAGCCCCCTGTGTGATGGGAAGGGGTGTCAGAGGGTTACTGGAAAAGTCAGACCCTCCTCTTCCCTGAGACTTCTCACCTTCATTCTCTGCCCCCCTCTAGAGTACACAGAGGACCCCTTGGGGGTGCAATTGATGACTTCCAGGACCCAAACAGGGATGCCCCTAGAAGAAAGCACTGGGATGGGGGACTTCGAGACATGGGTCTGAGACGCATAGCTAGAGCCACCAGTCCCCTAAGTGGGGAACTCACCGGCTCACGGGCAAGGGCAGCGGGGCCTGTGATGCGGACTGCTGGAGCAGCTGCTGGAGCTGCAGCAACTGCTGCTGCTGCAATTGCTGCTGCTGGAGCTGCTGCTGCTGCAACTGCTGGAGCTGCTGCTGCTGGAGCTGCTGCTGCTGGAACTGCTGCTGCTGCTGCTGGTTGAACATGGTGGCTGGGGGCAGGAGGGGGGGTAAGGCCGGGTCCCCTCCACAGCCCGGTCCAGCTCCCCTCCCACCCGTGGCCACTCGCTGCAACCCACCGCCTGCAAATACTGCCTGCTGAGCCCCACAGCCACACTCCCAGGCCTGACAAGAGCGTGCCACATGTGCGCCCCCATCCTTCCAATCCACCTCCAATCCTGCAAGAAGCAGTTTTCTACCACCCTCCTGCCAACTTCCCCGGTGTCCCGCCAACAGTCCCTCCTTCAAACCCCCAGTCTCGCCCTCCATCTCTCCAACTCTGGCGGCTCCATCCTTCCAGCCCAAATACGCCTGCCACCCCCACCCTCAGCCTCCCTCTGTGCCCATCGCTTCCTGATGCGGCACCTCCCCACTCACCCCCGTTGTGATACCGAGACAGTCCCCCTCGTGCCTGTGTGGTGACAATAACATCCACACCCGCCTCCAACCTTTCCCTTTCGTCCCTGAACCCTGCCGGACAGCTGCCCTTCGCCCCCTCCGCCAGCCCCTCCCTCGCAGATACGCCACCGCTGAACGCCGTGACCCCGGCGCCCTCGGAGCCCTCAGTCTCCATCCAGCTGCACCGACCCGGCCGCCCCACCCCCGGCCGGCCCGGCCCGGCCCCAGTCCCGCACCTCACTCCCCGCGCGGCCTCTGCCACGGCCTCGGCCTCGGCCTCGGCCTCGGCCACGGCCACGGCCAGCCTCCGCCCCGCGGCCCCTCAGCTCTCGCGCCGCCGTCGCCACGCGCGGGCCGGCGGACTCCGGCCCGCAGGCTCCAGGGCTCCCCGCGGCTCCGCCGGGGCCCGCCGCTCGCAAGGCCCGACTGTGGGCGGGGCCGGGCCGGGCAGCGCCACCTGGGGGCCCGGAGGTCCCGGAGTCGCCGGCGCCGCGCACCGGTCGCGCGGCGGAGGCGCGGTCAGCTCACCCGGCGCCCGGGCGGCTTCGGGCGCGGCCCGGGGGGACCAGGGGGTCCGGGGCAGCGCAGACCCTCCGCCCCGCGTCCTCCTCATTGGTGAGGGGCAGCTCTGAGCCCGAGGTCCGTCTGTCGCCGGGAGGAGTCTGTCGTCCGGCGGGGACACCGCGGGGCACTTCCAGGAGGACCTGTCCCCAACCGACCTCCCGGCGGCCGCCCCCAGCCCGCGATCCTGGGGGCGGGCGCGCGGCGGCGGTGGGAGGGGGCGCGCCCGCCCTGCACATTCGCGCCCGGCCCGGCCAGGGGGCGGCCGAGGTCGCACCGCCTGGCAGGAGCTCGCCCGGGAAGGGGGCGGGGGCACCCCACTTGAAAGTACTTTTTCTCAGCAGGTTTGGCCGGGCTGTGTGTGAGGAGAGCTGAGTTCAGTTATCTAATATGGTCCTATCCCGCATCCCGCCCCTAAAGCTGTCCTGCTCCCAAGGACCGCTGGAATGACGGCGACTTTATGCCCCGTCCCGGAGCCCAAACCATGCCTGTTCCTCAGTGGCCACCCTGCCCCCTTTCTGCGGCTCGAGGCCGCGGCAAGCGCGGCGCCAACAGCGTGCGGGCACCGCGCAGGTGGCACCCGGGACGCGGGGCCCGCCCGGCCGGTGCTCTGACCCGGGGCGCCCGGGCCGCGGGACCCGCGCGTGGACTAATCGCTGCAGTCGTGTGACCAGCGCTGCCCCGAGCGGTGCGCCGGCTCTGCCGCGGCGGCCGGCGGCCGGGGAGCCTGGCTCGGTCCGGACCAGGCGCGAAAGTGGCCCAGCGTGGCCGGAGCGGGGCAGCAGCTGGGCCAGGGCGACGCCAGCGCCCGCGCGTGCAAAGGCAGCCTGCAAGGTTGGGCTGCGAGCGCCGGACGGAGGAGGCGGCCCTCTCCCCGAAGGGCGAGGGCGGGGAGCTCTGGGCAGGACGGGAAGCCCGCGAGTGGCAGCGGCAAATCCGGGGATTAGAAAGTCGCTCTGGCGAGAGCGAAGACCGGCAATGGGGAAGGAGAGGGCGAGTCAAGACCGCCCAGGCTGCCAGCCAGGCCGATGCTCACGGACACCTTGATGCCAGCGCTGGAGACCTGGAGACGTCCAGGATCGAATCGGGGCTCCCTGCCTTCTGGCTGGGCCACCTGGGAGTCCTCCCAGCCGGTTTCCGCGTCTGTAACATGGGTGCCCCCTCCCATGGGGGTGTGAGGATGACATTACATAACGCTTAGCACTGGCACCTGGCGCAGGGTGAGCTTAGCAAACTGCCAAAGTAAAAAAAAAAAAAAAAAAAAAAAAAAAAAAAAAAAAAAAAAAACTAAAAATAATGCTCATGCTGGGGAAGGTAGGGAAGCCAGCAAGCAATAGCTTCCTGCGTTGGTTCATCGTTCTGCAAAGCAATTTGCAAATTTTCTATCAAGACTCTTGAATATGTTCTGCCCTTTGACAGGGTAACCCCACATGTAGGGATCTAGCCTAAGAAAATGATCAGAAATGAGACTTTTAAAAGCCAGCAGGTTGCTCACAGAAACATTATTTATACTAGCTGTCTGGAAAATAATCAACTTCAGAGAAACAGCTAAATAAATCATGGTGTCTGCCTCTTAAGGAATAGCACACAGCCATCAGAAATTATGTTTTCAAAGAATATTTAAACACTAACAATATGATGCAAAGTGAGCTCAGCAGGTAACAAAATTGCATGCACATTATAATCCCAGTTTTGGAAAGAATAAATATATGTGTGTAGTGGGCTCATGGCGTTTTTCACTTTTGCTCCTTTTTTATAATTTTCCATGTTAAGTTTGGATAACTTTATCATGCAGGGAGAGTGAACTTTTTTATTTATTTTTTTAATGTGTAAGACCTTGTGCTGCCTTCTTGAAGACCAGACAAGAGAGTGGATGGGAATGCTCTGGAGACACTGTTTAGGGATAATTGCTTTTAATCAAACCTTTGCAGGCAAGCCCCCCAAAGAATATCTTTGATGGCAGAAGAGAGGCTACAGCTCTATGTAGGCCGAGGTGAAAGGATTGTTGGAGGTCAGGAGTTTGAAACCAGCCAGGGCAAACATGGTAAGACCCTGTCTCTGCAAAAATTTCTTTAAAAATTGGCCAGGTGTGGTGTCATGGACCTGTAGTCCTAGATACTTGGGAGTCTGAGGCCGGAGGATCACTTGAGCCCAGGAGTTCAAGGTTACAATGAGCTGTAATTACACCACTGCACTCCAGGCTGGATGACAGAGTGAGACCCTATCTTTAAAAAACAACAACAAAAACAAAAGAATGAGGTAAATACACATTCTATACAAGTAACAAATACTCACATGTACCCCATAAATATGAAAAATTGTATCAATAAAAATCAGCAGGCCAGGTCGGTGGAGGTGGCTCACACCTGTAATCCTAGCACTCTGGGAGGCCGAGGCAGGCGGATTGCTCGAGGTCAGGAGTTCGAAACCAGCCTGAGCAAGAGCAAGACTCAGTCTCTACTATAAATAGAAAGAAATTAATTGGCCAACTAATATATATATAGAAAAAAAATTAGCCGGGCATGGTGGCGCATGCCTGTAGTCCCAGCCACTCGGGAGGCTGAGGCAATAGGATTGCTTGAGCCCAAGAGTTTGAGGTTGCTGTGAGCTAGGCTGATGCCATGCACTCACTCTAGCCTGGGCAACAAAGTGAGACTCTGTCTTAAATAAATAAATAAATAGGCCAGGGGCCCTGTGGCTCACGCCTGTAATCCTAGCACTCTGGGAGGCTGAGGCGGGCGGATTGCTCGAGGTCAGGAGTTCAAAACCAGCCTGAGCAAGAGCGAGACCCCATCTCCACTATAAATAGAAAGAAATTAATTGGCCAACTAATATATAGAGGAAAAAAAATTAGCCGAGCATTGTGGTACATGCCTGTAGTCCCAGCTACTTGGGAGGCTGAGGCAGGAGGATTGCTTGAGCCTAGGAGTTTGAGGTTGCTGTGAGCTAGGCTGATGCCATGCACTCACTGTAGCCTGGACAACAAAGCGAGACTCTGTCTCAAAAAAAAATAAATAAATAAACAAATAAATAAATAAACAAATTTTTAAAAATCAGCAAATCTAAGTAAGCCTCTTAAAAAAATGAAGTAAATGTCTCCACTTATTCAAGACTTGCATTATGTTATGGTTTTGCAGGTTTCTCTACCTAGCACCTATGGTGCAGTTTCTATGGTGGCTGTTGTTGCCATTTTCCCAGTACACTTTCTAACTGGCTATTGATTATGGCATCTTTATCTTGTAATCGCCACCTCCCCATCTTGCATTATTTCTGTCCTCAGCAATGTCATGTGGCCTTGATGACAGAAGCAGCTGCTGAGTTGTCCCCTTGTCCTTGGGACCCAGCTCAGAGCCCTGCACACCACAAGGTTGCCTGTCAAGGTCTATTAAATGAGTGAGTGGATGAATGAATGGATTACTCCAAGATGCAATTTCTTCCCTTTGTCCTTGGGTTGGTGTTCATCACAGCAGTTCTTCTCTCCTTGACATCTGTGTCCATCGCCCTACAGAGGCAAGCCCCAGAGAGGTATGCCAGTGCACCACCCTGGCATAGGCAGTCAGGTGGGCCCCACAATGACACCCCAGCTCAGAATCCCCAGAAACAGGGGGTGTGGAGCAACATCTCCTAGTCCGACGAGAGGCACAGAAAAATACAAGACCATATGCTTATCATGTGGCCTCCCCAATGGCTGTCACCCACCTGTGCCTTTTTCTATAAATAAACGTGGTGTGAGACACAGGGGACAGAGGTGGGGAGCAGCAGGATGGGCACAGCCTTGTTGCTGCCCCTACTTTCTGGGGACACCCAGGACAGATCCCCTCCTTACTTGGGGTCTTGCTTTGGACATCTCTGCTGGATAGGACCAACCTGTGGGTAGCAAGCTCTCCCTCCTTACCATGGCCAACCACCCCTTCTGCTACCTTCAGGAGACTGAAGAAGTTTCTTTGGACAGTGTACTACACTATTCGAAGAACAGTTCCAGGCACTGTTCCAGCCTGTTACCTAAATGATTGTTACTTCACTGAATCCTCACACAATCCTATGAATTAGGCATTATCATTACCCCCTTTTACAGTTGAAAAAACTGAGGCTCAGGGAGGTGAAGTGACTTGCCCAAGGACAGTCCAAGGCATTAGTTTGGTTACCTGAATTAACAATAAAACATTACTTGCATATTCTGTTGTTACACAGAAATCCGTAAGCCTTGATGGCCAGTTATAATTTATGCTGGAATAGGCATTTAACAATTATATATAAAATACTGTTTGAGTAAGCTGGGCATCAGAGGAATTGATTAGTAATAAAAAGTCCAAGGTGAAAACACAGATTAATTTGATAAACAGCAAGCTTGATTTTATTAGCAGTCATGATCAATTAAAAAGAATATTATGGCATTTAAAAAATGTAAGGAAACCAAAGAGCTCTGAAACTATAACAGTTTAGGAAACAAAGGCAATGTCAGATTTATAATAAGGCACCACGTGATCAAATGTCAACTGTCTCTTGCTGCGCTGAAATTTCAGGCATACCTCTAGATACTCAGTTAAGAGTTGAAATCCAATCTAGGATTGAAATCCAATCCAATCCTAGAATTACCTAGGCATTGCATTATACTATCTAAAACAAAAACAAAAAAAACTTGGATAACCAAGAAATTTCAAGCTTCCAGTGAGCCAAGGAATTATATTAAGCAAGGTTTAGGTAGTAGCTCACTTACCTGCTTGGAGTTATTGCTCACAAAGAAATCCTACAGCCATGGCAGAGGCATGGAAAAGGCAAATCAGATACATGCAGTTCAGAAATCACAGCAACAAATGAGGGCAAGTCAGAGCAGTCAAGGAAATCAGTGATGCAGGGTAAGAGATGACTTATGCCCCTAAGATCATCAACAAGAGTTGATAACGATGAGAAAGTGGCAGAGGTGAGAGAGTGGCAGAGGTGGTATTTGAACACCAGGCAGTCTTGTTTCAGACTTAACTATGGCACAATCGGCATATATGGGCACCTGTCCTCTTCTGGGCTGGGGGGAGCTCCTTACCATGAGATGGGGCAGTGCAGGCACAGATGACTGAACTGCCAGTGCCCAAAAGCCTAGGAAATCTTGGTGCCCAGCCCCCAACCATGTAGAGAAGGGCACTGTGTGTGCCCCAGCCTGGTCCAGCTGATTCCTCCCCAGCCATCCTGCCCCAGGCTGGGCCAGGTGCCATTGCTCTGTGTACCTGGTGAGCTTAGCTTGTCTGCCTCTCTCCTGTGAATCTGCATTCTGGCAGAAGCCATATTAACTTCTTCATGCTCCTGTGTCTCACATGAGGTCTGGCACAAAGTGGCCACTGATCCATACCTGTTGAGGAATAGAAGAATGAATGGATGAATCCAAAGGGCTAGACCCTAAGCAGACTTAGTGACTAAACATAATGTCTTATTTTTTTTTCTTTTTTATTTTTAGGGCTGTAGATACAGATGAAAAACATAATGTCTTGACCCAGGAGCTGTATAATAAAGCCACTGTTCATTCAACTGGCATTTACCAAGCACCTGTTATATGCACAAATGCATAGATTTACAAGAGCCAGCATAGTGTAGGACATAAATGTGGAAGCTCTTAGACAAAATGACTTCGATTCACATCTTGACATCATTACTTCTTGGCTTTGTGGCCTTGGACATGTTCTCATTAACCTCTTTGTGCCTCAGTTTCCTCATCTGTCAAAAGGGGCTAATAAAACTCCTTTCTGGGGGTTGCGAGATAGCAAGAGTGAATCCTCAATACGGCAACCAGGCTGGGATGAAATATCCAGTGCGTGCACCTGTTGCTCGTAATCTTCCCAGCACAGTTGGTGGTCAAAACTTAGGGAGCTCAACAGAGAATTCTCTCTCTCTCTCATGCTCATAGTAGAGGGTCAAAGCCATTTTTAAGATTCTCATTTAATTCACTGGCCCTCAGGGCACCCAGCTTCTCCAAGCCTGGGGAGAACCATCTGCAGTGACTCTCCTTCAGCCCCTGCCAAGCCCAATGGGGAAACTGAGGCCAGGGTAGATTTCAGGTTCATTTCCTTCCTGACTCCATACCTTTGCTTTGCTGGTTCCTCTGTCCACAACATTGTCCGTTCTCCACACCTTCTGGTGGCATTCTATTCATTCATTCTTCAAGTCCAACACAGCCGTTTTTAGCAGACCAAGGAACAAAAGCAGAGTACCACTCAATAATGGAAACCTGTGCAGTCATGAACAAGGAATGTGAGTGATCTTTTATACTGAAAGACATCTAAGACACACTGTTACTAAAAAAGCAAGTTGCAGGAAAATGTATGTATCAGAGCTTCTCCGACTTTGATGTGCACAGAAATGGGCTGGAGTTCTCGGTTCTTGTAAAATGCTGGTTGTGATTCAGCAGGTCTTGGGCTGGGCCTGAGATTCTGCATTTCTGACCTACTCAATGTGTTGCCTAGGCATCAGTGATACAGTAGTATGGGATATTTAGTTTGATCTCATTTCTATAAAAACAAAACGGAACAAAATAAATATATATGAGGGGGGAAGCCAAATAATAGGCCAGGCGAGGGGGCTCACACCTGTAATCCCAGCACTTTGGGAGGCCAAGGTGGGCAGATTGCTTGAGGCCAGGAGTTCCAGAACAACCTAGGGGCAACATGGTGGGACCCTGACTCTACAAAAAATTTAAAAATTAGCTGGGCGTGGTGGCGTGTGCCTGTAGTCCCAGCTACTCAGGAGGCTGAGCAAAGAGGACTTCTTGAGCCCAGGAGTTTGAGGTTGCTGTCAGCTATGATCTTACCACTACACTATAGCCTCATCACAGAGATGCTGTGTCAAAAAAAAAAAAAAAAAAAAAAAAGCAGGGGGGAGGGCGGCACGGGCAACACATGTCACCTGAGTGCTGAGGATAGAGGCTGAGCAAAGAGGACTTCTTGAGCCCAGGAGTTTGAGGTTGCTGTCAGCTATGATCTTACCACTACACTATAGCCTCATCACAGAGATGCTGTGTCAAAAAAAAAAAAAAAAAAGAAGAAGCCAGAGAATAAACCCTAAACTGTAGTGGTTATCTTTAGGTGCAAAGATGACCAGGAGCTTTGAAATACTTGTATAAAGTCTGATTTTACAATAAGTTTTACTACTGTAATTAGAGAGAAAAAAATTAAAAATAAAATCCCAATCAAAACACCCTGTAGGCAGACATCTGTAAACTCCACCCCCTTCCCAAATGAACGGTACTGCTCATCCGGACTCCCATCTCTGCCCTATCTGGGCCTCAGAGCATAATAACAGGTTGGCCAGGAGCAGCTGCTCAGGATGTGCGCGTGTGTGGAGCTGATGCTCCAGCTGTCTGCAGAGCTGTCGTCATCAGTGTCCATGCGGCCTTGATTTAATAAGTGCCTCTTGAGCACCAGGTCTGGTGGGCATGGGCATGGGCATTCCAATCTGTCATCATCCCCATTATCCAGATTAGACAACTGAGGTTCAGAGACATGGAGGGACCTGGATCATGCAGCTTGTCTAAGGTCCAGGCTTGGCTCCTAACCCACTCCCTGGTGCTGCCAGGTATAGGGCCCACTCTTTCCCCTCTTCCCGCCTGGGATATTCCTTCCCCAGATTTCCATGTGTCATTTCCTAATTTCCTTGAGGTCTCTGCTCAATTTTTTTTTTTTTTTTTTAGAAACAGGGTCTCACTCTGTTGCCCAAGCTGGAGTGCAATGATATGATCATAGCTTACTGCATGCAGCCTCGAACTCCTGGGCTCAAGCAAGCCTCCCACCTAGGCCTCCCAAAATGCTGGGATTATAGGTGTTAGCCACTACTACACCCCGCCTCAAATTTTGCCTTACCAGAGAGTTCTCTGATCACCCTCTGCATAACAGCAACACTACCCCTCCCCCAACCCTGCTTTTTTGCTCCCCAGAGCACTCATTCCTATGAACAGGGTTATAGATATTGGTTTATTTGCATATCATCCCCCTTTTTCCACTAGAATGCAAGCCACATGTGGGTAAGGACATTGTCCGTTTGTTCACTGCTTTAGCTCTGGGGTTTACATAGTGCCTGGCTTGATTAACGTGCATTAAATGGATGAATGAATGAATGAATGGTCTGTTTTGCCTGCAGTGCCTCCCACTCTGTTTACGCACAGAGAAATAACCTGCTGCCTGCCCCTGGTAGCACAGACTAGGCTAGCCTCCCCTTCCTAGACTCCTAAGTAGGCTCCTTAAATGCAGAGGTGGACACTTTGCCTGAGGCCCCATGATCTCTCCATGTGAAAGGAATAAGCAAGGTAAGGCTGTAGGAGCCCCACTGTTTTACCACCATGCTGATGGGCTGGGGCAAAGACTGCCATGCTTGCTGGGCACAGTGGCTGATGCCTGTAATCCCAGCATGTTGGGAGGCTTAGGCAGGAGGATCACTTGAGTCCAGGAGTTTGAGACTGCAGTGAGTTATGATTGTATTTCTGCACTCCAGCCTGGGCAACAGAGGAACACATTGCCTCTAAAAAAAGGGAAAATTAAAAGACTGCCCCCTCTATGACAAGAGCTTTCTACTCTCCAAAGAAGGGCCTTCCAAGTGCCAGGGCCTGTGCACTTGTTATTCATTCTGCCTGGCATGCTGTTCCCCTGATCTGCCTGTGGCTGGCTCCTTCTCATTTAGGTCTCTTCTCAAATGTCACTTCCTCAGAGAACCTCCTGACTCCTCCCAGCCTAAAGTGACCTTTTCACATCCACACAGGTATCTCTCTCTTTACATTCCCTGTTTATTTCCTCCATTGCTCTTATAAACTACATTCGTTTTTACGATTTCATTTATCTGTTTGTTCATTGACTGGCTCCACCTGGCCACCTTTATGCAAGATCTGTGGGGTAGAGCCTTGGCTGTCTTGTTCACGACCTTCTCTCCAGTACCTAGGACAGGGCCTGGCTTATAGGAGGTGCTCCATATATATTTGTTGAATTAATGTTCCACTTTTCTCCTTCTAGAAACAAGGGAACTGAAGCCCAAAGAAGGGACATACTGGAGATTAGTGTCAGAACCTACAGAAGAGGGCAGAGAGGTCAAGTGGAACTCCGGGTCAGGAGGCTTTGACCACAGAGGCGGCCGATCTGCTCTCTAGGCCCCAGTTTCCCCACATATAAGATGGAACGAGGCAGCCATGACCCCTATCCAAGAGGCCTGGTACTAGGGGTGAGACCTCGCTAGTTGCCAGAAATGATATCTTCTGCGCAGCATCCGCGCATCCAGACACTGCTAAAGGCGCCCCTAAAGCCGCAGAATCAGAAAACTACAACTCCCATGATGCTCCGGACGGCGCCTGCGCACGGCGGCAGGCTGCAGCGCCGCGGACGCCCTCTAGTGGCGAACCGGCGTGGCGCTCCGCTCCGCTCCCCGAGGGGCGGGGGACCCGCGGCGCAGGCAGTCGGGGAGCTAGGCTGCAGCGGTGAAGCCCGGACCCGGAGCGGGAGCGGCGGCCGGATCGCAGCCTGCGAGGCCCGCCGCAGCCATGGGCAACCGCGGCATGGAGGATCTCATCCCGCTGGTCAACCGGCTTCAGGATGCCTTCTCTGCCATCGGCCAGAACGCGGACCTTGACCTCCCGCAGATCGCCGTGGTGGGCGGCCAGAGCGCCGGCAAGAGCTCGGTGCTCGAGAATTTCGTGGGCAGGTAGGAGCGCGCGCACCTGAGCGCGGACCCCCAGCCCCCGGGTCCCGAGGGCCCCCGCCCGTGGCCCGACGGCGCAGCGACCTCGCAGCCCCGGGCGCTGCACCAGCGCGCGGCGCGTCTGCCCTCCCCAGCCGGAGGGAGGCGGCTCTGCCCCCGCCACGAGAGCCCCTCGGGGGCAGCAGCGCCCCCGGCTAGTCTGCAAACGTCGTCAAGCCGCCGGCCACGGAATCACGCCCCCTCCTCCGCCCCATCCTTTAGGGAAGGCTGCGCTCCCCCGGGAGACCCTGGCAAAGGGTTGCCCCCCACCCAGTATGGGCACTGAAGGAGCGCGCATTACTCAGCGCCGCCCTTCGCTCCTGAGTCCCTCGGAGCGGCAGCACCGGGGGCAGCGCCCCCGCCCCCACCCGGGCTCTACAGAGGACAGCCCCCTACCCCCTAGAAACTCCTGGGCTGCAGCCGGGGACAATCGCCCACCCCGGCCCCTAAAGAGCACAGAGCCCCTTGAGCACTGAGGACCAGGCACAGCCTCCCCCCGCACACACACCTCTGCGGCTCCCGCCGCCATCCGTGCGCAGCGCGGCGCAGGGGGGAGGCGCGGGCTGCAGGATGAGGAAGGGAAGGGGGGAGGAGAAACCACTTCTGATCCCTTTCTGAGCCGCTGGCCCCTCGCTTGGCCGAGGCCCTGGGTGGGGGGCGCCTGTCAATGTCGTTCTCCCTTTGGCCTGGTAGAGGGACTGTGATGGAGGGAGAAGGTGGCGGAGGGCAGAGATGACTAAGACAGGGAAGCAGGATGGCGGGGAGGGGGGAGCCATTTGCAGAACCTAATCCCCCTCCCGCCTCTGATCCCACAAGGCGCTGAAAGGGCCAGGTGGCGGAGTGCAGAGCAGCCGCAAAGACAAAGGGTCCTGGGTTTAGGGGGGCAGGCAGGGTCATGACCCCCTGGCGTCACCCTCCACCCAAGGAGAGGCAGAAACGGCTTTTCTGGTGCTGAGGAGAGAGAGAGGATGGTGCTCTGGGGCGCTGGAGGTGGGACGGGGGCTGGGCAGACCGAGGGAGGAGGCGGGAGAGTTGACACTGACCTCCCCTCGCTCATCTTCTTCAGTGACCCTTGCTTTCTGCCAATGACCTTCATGGCCAAGGAGGTGACTGGCACATGGGAGAGGGAGGCAAGGGCCCCTCCTCACAGAGGGACAGTGGTTCTGTCCAAGCCAGGTTCTGCTGTGAAACCTCAGGCAAGTCACTTGCCTTCTCTGAGCCTCAGTGTCCCCATCTTTAATATGGACAGTTGGACTAGATGGTTGTTCCTGCCCCTCAGATGTCTGGGAAGCCCCGTGCCAGCCCTAGAGGTGACAGGGAGAGAAGCTGACTGCAGTGCTGGGGGGGGGGGGAGCTGCCACGGGGGTGGCTGTGCCCATCTGGTCAGCAGAGGGGGAGGCATCTGTTTCTCCCAAAGGCTCCTTGCAGAACCCCCTTCCGATCCTGTGATCCCCAAACTGCAGAGACACAGGCAAGAGGCACACAGATGGGTCCCTTCCCCAAGGCCCAGCAGTCAGGGACACTCATCTCTTTACAGTATACAAGCTATATTCCTACCTCTCGTCCTTTCAACATTTGCTGAACTCCTCCCCTGTGCCAGGCTGTGTGCTCTGGGCCGGAAGCGTGGAGGGGATCAAGTGGCAACCTTAGCTCTTGTCTACCAAGCCCCTCCCATGTGCCCTGCAGCCTGCCGAGTCCTACTCGGGGCTCACACAGCCCCCAGGAGGCAAGGAACATGATGCTGTCCTGCAGATGAGGACACTGAGACCCTGGAGGTTGGATGCCTTGCCCAAGGTCACACATTCAGGAAGTGAAGCATCTGTTAGACTCCAGAGCCCCGGTTCTTAATCTCAACCCTGCACATCCTCTGAGTCGGGCCCTGCACTGAGCATGGGGACATGCAGGTGTGTGGGCCTCCATTTTCCCCATCTGTGCAATGGGAATGCCCACAGCTGCTGTCCTGCCTTCCTGAGAGGGTGGCTGTGGCCCTGGTGAGTTCACGGGTATATAAGCCCTTGTGTAAACACATGGCAGGGAGTCAGTCAGGCTTGGGAACCTCTGTGTGCCCAGCCCCTGTCCTCTTGGAGCAGGCCAGCCACAGCCACAGCAGATTTCAGTCACTGTTTGCTTGTTGAGTGGCAGAGCAAGGTGTGGTCTCTGCCCCAAGAGGCCTGGGCCCTCTTGCTGCCCTCCATACCCCAATGCCGTTGGCTGTGGTCCCTGCAGGAGGAGGTGCAGGGTGTGAGATGCAGGCCAGGGCAGAGGAGGGCTTAGCTTGAGGTGGAGGAATGGGCGGGAAAGCATTAGTGATTCCCCCAAACTAGCAAGGACAGGGAAGCTGAGGCTCAGTGAGGCCCTCCCCAGCCAGCCCTGTCTGCTCTGTCATGCGCTCCCGACCTCTCCACCTAGGGCTGGGTCCCCAGACCCGTGGGCATGGTAATAGCGCTTTGTATCCTGGGGGTTCCCAGGAGCCAAACCCCCACGGGGAAGAGGTGGAAAGTGCAGAGGAAGGAAAGAAAGGCTGCTCCAGGCCAGCCTGGGCTCGCGGGCACCAGGAGAACACTGCTGTCTGCTCTGCAACGCAGGTGGCCCAGCAGCTGCCCAAGACCCTGCTAGGACTTGTGTGTGTCTATGCTACTTCTTCACCCTTCCCCCTTTTACAGAAGGGAAAACTGAGGCCAATCCATTCAGTCAGTTAGCAGACAGTCATTGAGGGTCCACAGTGTCTCAGCCTGGGTACTCTGTGGTGCAAAAGACAAAGGCCCCACGTTCCCGAGGGAGGAACTGAGAAAGAACTGGAGAATGTGGTTAGGGTCCCGGCAGCAGGGGTGCTTTCCATGGGGAGGTCAGAGAAGGTCTGTAGGAGGAGGTGATTACCTGAGATGAGAACTGAGGGATGGGAAGTGGTGTGACAAGCTGAGGGAGGGGAATTCCAAGCCAAGGGAACAGCAAGTGCAAAGGCCCTGGGGCAGGAAGGAATTTGGTGTGTTTAAAGATCAGACAGGAGCCACTGCGCTGGTGTTTGGCAAGCAAGGGGGAGAAGGAATCAGAGAGATAAGCAGGGTCTAGATCTGTAAGGCCCTTAGACCATGACAGGTGAAGAGTCCCGGTTTATTTTCATTATTGGAAGCTTTTAAGTAGTGGAATGACTTGAGCTGATTCTGTCAAGGGTGTGACTTGGGGAGGGGACGAGGGAGAAGGCAGGAGACCGGGGGCGAGCTGCTGCAGTGGGCAGGCGGCAGCAGGGCCTGCCAGGGCGAGGAGGAGGATGGTAACGGTGCGGTTTGGGATATGCCGTGGAGGAAGGTCCCACTGGAGGATGGATGTAGGAGGTGAGGAAAGAGGAATCGAGGATGACTTCCAGGTCTTTGACCTGCGCTCCCGGGTGGGCATTGATGCATCAGGAGGAGCAGGTTGGGGCATGGGGGACGGGGAAAGGCCAGGATTTGGTTCTGAGCATACTGAGCCTGAGATGCCCACTAGACTCTTAAGCAGAGATGTCAGGTGGCAGTTTGGTGATGTAAGTTGAGAGCTCAGGAGGAAGGCAGGCTGGAAATATAAATTTGGAAGCTTACCTTCCATAGTTGGTGTAGAGATGAGATTTAAACCCCTAAGAGTAGATGAGATCATGTTGGGGGTAGGTGTAGACGGAGGAATGCTGGTGGACCCAGCATACTGCAGCATTTCATGAACAGATGCCTGGTGCCCTAGGCCAAAGGGGTCTCTTTGCTGCCCCTCCAGCTCCCCTTTGTCCCCTATTACACGCGCCTTCCCCCAACACTCATTCAGGGCCAAGAGCAGGTGTCCTGGAACAGGCCTCCCGGCTCCAGGCCCCCATCCTCACTCACTCTGGTGCCAGGTGGGTTGACAAATGGGCAGTGCCCACCCTCCCTGCCTTTTGGCCCCTGTGGAGGCCACGGCCAATGGGAAAGTACCAGGGGGCTGAGGCTCGGACTCTGGAGTCAGACCTGCTGAGTCTGAAGCTCAGCTCTGCTTCTGACAAGCTGAGAAACCTTGGGCATGTTTCCTAAGCCTACCCAGCTGCTATTTCCTCATCTGTAAAATGGGGATAATAATAGCGCCTCCCCCGTGAGATTATGGCGAATGGTGCAATAATGCCCATGAACCACTTGGGCTAGGCCTGGTATAGAGGATGGGCCAATTCCGTTCCTGCCTAAGCATAGGCCGGCAAGCCCTTTGGGATGGTACAGGCTGGGTGAGGGTGGGGGTGGGGAGGGGACCTTCTCCATCCAGGGTAGAGGAAGGGCCTGGTGAGTGAGCCTCTACCTGGAGCCCATGGGGATGCCTGGGAGGCAGGGCTTTAGGTGTCCCCATGGCTGTGCCTGCCCTCTACTGAGGCTCCCTGCCTCCCACCCATCCCCTTGCCCCTCCTCTACATTCTCATCCCAGCATGGGCTCAGTGCTGGTCTTGGCTTCTGAGAGCCCCTCTCTTTGTTAGGCCTACCCCTTCCCATGGGAGACAGCCCACTCCCCACTATTAAGCTCTGTCTCTTTCTCTGAATACTTTGGAATTCATCATAGCAGTCCCATTTCTCAGATTTGAAGACTGAGTCAAAAGAGTATTAGGGAGTAATTTAGACATCCTAAGTAGAGGGTTGCTGACCTGGAGGGGACAGAGGGAACTGACATTTCCTTGGCATTTGCAGTGTGCCAGGCCCTGGGGACATAGCTGTGAACAAGCCAGACCCATCCCTGCTTGGGGAAGCTCACAGCTGACCAGGGCAGACATTAAGTCCACAAAGAGCTCATTTGTTGTGTGTTTTGAAAAATGGTATGAGGAGCCTGATATTGAGGGGATGGGAGTCATCTGTGGGGAGTCAAAGAAAGTCCTCTGAGGAGGTGGGATTTAAGGCTGGACCTGAGCAAGACTAGGGCTTGGTCGAGCAAAGCCGTGGACCCTCCAGGTGCAGGGCCCAGCCTGAGCAAAGGCCTAAGGTGAAGGAAGCCAGTGGGCTTGAGAACCCAGGCGAAGGGCAACTGAGCGAGGGGCAGCGGCCAGAGGAGAGAGTCGGAAGCTCAGGGAGGTGGGGCTTGATGGACCTGTTAGGAACCCTCCACAGCCACCTCCACCCTCCCCCAAGAGAGCTGCCAAGGGCCACACTCTGCTCTGCCTGTCCATGCTCAGAGCCCGCACCTGCCACACGCTAAGCACATGCTGCCTGCAGACCACACACCTGGGGGCTACGCTCGCAGGAATGTGCCCGCCCCCAGCCAGAGGACATCCTCTCCAAACCCCAGCCCCACCTGGTGGCCCGGAGGAGCTCAGCATGAAAGGTGACCCTGGCAGACGGCATCTGATCCTGGCGCCAGGAGAATGGAGTTGCCCAGGCTTTGGCAGGGGTCAGAGGGTCGGACCCCCAGGGAAGCGGGTGCAGGTGGGCGGCAGGCGGGAGTGGAGGAAGCGGCTCATGGGCACAGTGCTGCCAGGCGTGGGGCGAGAGCAGAAACAGAGGCCCACGTGCCGTATGTCTGAGTATTCCAGTTATAAATCAAGCTAAGGAACTGCTAAATGCAATGCATTCTGCCCTCCTACCTTGACAAACACATCTTCACAACAACCTGGTCGCTCAGTTTGAATTTAGAATTTCAGACTCCTCAGAGTTCCATGTCAGGATGTGGAGGTGTGGGGACACGTGGCCCCTCTCCCCAGGCTGCCCTGTCTCTTCCCACTCCATCCCTCCTGGGCTCACATGTGGACACCCCAGCCCCCATACCCCAGCTCCATCTGCGGCCCCAGAAAGGAGCCCCCTAAGGCCTGGGCTGCCTCCCGCAGTAAAATTAGCTCTTGGCGGGCAGACCCTGGCCATGGGCTTGGGACTGCTGGAGAGGGAATTCCAGGGCACCTGAGTGTAGGCTAGGAGGGGAGCACAGGCTCCAGCTGGGCACCTTCCCTTGGCCCCTGGGGGCTTTTTGCCCCATGGGGAGGGTGAGGCCAGAGAAGGTTCAGAGAGGGACCCCTAACCCCAATTTCCCAGGTCTAAGGGCAGTACTGGTGTCCTCTTGGAACCAACAATCCATTAGTAGGAGCGGCAGGGACTGTCATCCCAGGTTTTTAGGTGCTGAAATGACACAGAGAGGGTAGGAGACTTGCCTGAAGTCACACAGCAATCAAATCAGAGGCAGGAAAGGAACTGGCACGAGTCTCCTGCCTCCAAGTGAGACCTTTCCATGTGTCTGTCTACCCTCTCCCCATGGCCCCATGTGTGCGCGTACCACCAACACTCCTCAGTTTCTCCTCCTCTACTATTCCTGGGTGACGCTGGGACTTTTGTCCTCTCCCTGGACTGAAATCTGGCTAAGAAACAAGAATCGTTTGAAGAAGTCAGCCTCTTGGCAACTTGGAATTACTAGAGGCAATAGAAAAAAAAGGAATATTGGGCTTGGAACATGTTCAAGACATTCTCCTAAATGGCATCTTCCCAGTGCCCTGACCGGGGGCCCTAGATAGACCTCCCCCACCCCCATCTTCCCCATCCATTTCAGTCCCGGTTCCCTGTGGCTTCTTCTCCCTGCCCCCTACCCTCAACCCCCAACTCTCTAGCTCAACCGACCACCGTCACCTTTGTCTCAGCAGTGGGGGCAGCCTTGTTGTTGTCCTCCCAACCCATTCTCCACCCAACAAGCATGAAACTCTCTATAGCCTTCTAATCTAGCCTAGCCTCCTATGTTTGAAGCCCTCCTTGGACCCCCTGCCTGCAAAACGGAGCCCCAGTGGCCCCTGAGGCCAGCTTCTCCTCCAGCCAGTTCCTCCTGGTCTACCCTAATGTCTCACAGTTCACGGAAAAAATGGGCTGTGCCCCCACCTCTCCTGGGGTGCTGTCGTATATGCTCCCCTCTCACCTGGAAGGCTCTTGGCCCTGCCGTGTCTTCCTCCTGCCCTGGCTTTTTCCTCCAAGTCTCATATCTGCCAACACCTCCTTGATGCATTTTGGGGTGATAGAAATGTCCTAAAATTAGATTGTGATGATGGTTGCACAACTCTGTAAATATACTAAAAATCATTGAATTGTGTGCTTAAAAGGGGTAAATTTTTGGCATAAAATGATACCTCAGTAAAGCTGTTTAAGAAATCTGAAACCCCCTGGATTGATCCTCACACGGCCCCCACGACCTGCCCCTCGGTGTGGGGCCAGGCCTGTTTCCACCCAGGATTTGGAGCTGTCGAGGAAGACAGAAGCTCGTCGCCTTGGTCTGAGAGCTCCTGGCAGACAGCAGCTCTGGCCGCGGTTAATATTAACATCTTATCTATTTATTACCTCGCTGTTCTTTTATCACTCCAGCTCACATGCCTCTGGTCTTCATGCGGGGAAAGCAGGCCACTAGAAGAAGGGGAGAAGAACCTCGGCAGGTGAACGCATACTCACCTCTGACCGAAGTCCCCAGTTCGAGGGGACGAAATGCTGTAGCACACACAAAGCCCTCGGCACACGGTGTGTGCTCGCTCAGGGGGTGGGTGCCACCAGTGAGCACCCTCTGCTAGATCCTTCCACAGCCAGGATCTCAGGACATTCCCTCCGCAGCCCTAGGAGGGAGCTGCTGGATGTGTCCCATTTCACTGATGGGGAAACTGAGGCTCAGAGCAGGGAAGTAATTTAGTGGGAGAGCTGGGGCTCCTTCTCATCAAGCTGCTGGTGACAAGAAATACGGCTCCAGACGCAGCTCCCTGCTGAATAACCTTGGAAATGTCCGTCATGCGCTGTTAGGTGAGCAGAGGAGCTACCAAAGTGCACAGGAGCCCGGTGTGCGGACACCCGAGGGGCCTGTGACTTCATTTATCCGAGCCTCAGTTTCTTCCCCCGTCAGATGGGGAAACTGATCACACTGTCCTCACAGCCATGTGAGGATCAGTCCAGAGGATTTAGATTTCTTACACAGCTTTATTGAGGTATAATTTACATGCCATAAAATTTACTCATTTAAAATGCACAATTCTGGTTCACTGTGATGATCTATATTTAGTGAAAAAGAAAATAATAAAACAATTTTAAAATAAAAATAAAGTGCACAATTCAATAAGTTTTAGTATATTTATGAAAATATACTAAAGTTGTACAACCATCATCACAATCTAATTTTAAGACATTTCTATCACCCCAAAAAGAACTCTCACGCTGATGCAGTTTCAGGTTCTGGGCAGTGTCCCTGGCTGATGGTCGCCAATCCATCAGTGTTAGCCACGATTATTATTAATAATAGAATGCATATAATGGTGCTCTACAGGTGTTGGGATGATGGCTGGTTTTTGTTTTTAAATATTTCATGTATTTTCTGAAGTTTTTTTCAAATGGAGAAAATATGATTTTTATTCTTAAAATTGTATTTATTATTATTATTATTTTTAGAGACAGAGTCTCACTCTGTTGCCCAGGCTGGGGTGCAGTGATGCAATCATAGCTCACTGTGGCCTCGAACTTCTGGGCTCAGGGGATCCTCCGAGCTCAGCCTCCTGAGTAGCTGGGACTACAGGCATGTACCACCACACCTGGCTGATATTTAAAATTTTTTTGTGGAGATGAGGTCTTGCTATGTTGCCCAGGCTGGTCTCAAACTTCTGGCCTCAAGCAATCCTCCTGCCTCAGCTTCACAAAGTGCTGGGATTATAGGTGTGAGCTGCTATACCGGCTTCATTTTTTTTTTTTTTTTAGATAGAGTCTTATTCTGTTGCCCGGGCTAGAGTAATGTGGCATCAGCCTAGCTCACAGCAACCTCAAACTCCTGGGCTCAAGCAATCCTTCTGCCTCAGCCTCTCAAGTAGCTGGGACTACAGGCATGCGCCACCATGCTCGGCTAATTTTTTTTCTATATTTTTAGTTGACCAACTAATTTCTTTCCATTTTTAGTAGAGATGGGGTCTCGCTCTTGCTCAGGCTGGTTCTGAATTCCTGACCTTGAGCGATCCACCCGCCTCGGCCTCCCTGAGTGCTAGGATTATGGGCATGAGCCACCGCACCCGGCCCTGGCCTCATTTTTTAAATTAGGAGCAAAAGAGAGATCTATTTCCATTTTGAAAATGTAAAGTCATCAACACTTGGAAGGAAGGAAGCAGGGAGAGAAAGAAAGAAGAAAGCAGGAGGGATGGAAGGAAGAGGAGGAAGGGAAGATGGTAATCTCTCCCTAGCAGGAAAATGCTTGCCTTGGACAAAGCACGGAGTCAGTCAGGAGCCCCATGTCAACAACTTGCACCATGACCTTGGGCAAGACTCTTCCCCTTTTTGTGCCTCAGTTTCTACCCTGTACGATGAGGCTGATGGAGGGGAAACTGGAAGAGCTTGTCTTCACATCATTCTCTTGGTCAACAGGGGTGTCCTGAGAGCCCATTGCGAGCTGGGTGCTGGGAGCTGGTGGAAAACGGGCTCAGCCCAGGCCCCACTCTCAGGATCATCAAAACATCAAGGAAAACCGAGGCCAGAACCGCCCTGCAGTGTTCAAACCTCAGCTTGAAATTCATGAGTTGTGACGTGGGCCGCCTAGGGCCTCTTGGGGCAGCGGAACAGAGAGGGACTTGTTGCCCGGGGCAGCCTCACCTCCTCCCAACTGTATTTCTTGGCCCAGCCCCTCCCGGGTCCCCTCAGTTCCCTGCTTCAGAGGGCACCTCAGAGCCCGCCCAGCCCCCGTGTCTTCCGCTTCCAGGGGCAAGATTTGGCTGGAAATATCCTCCCTGCACCCAACTCTCTGGGCCAGCCTCCACCTTCCCACTCCGTCCCTACTGCATGGGGCGCTGTGGTTGTGGAAGTCCAGCTTGTGTTCTCAGCGTGCTCCAAGAGCCACCAGTTTTTATGATCCTATTATAATAGCCACCATTTGTTCAGGCATCAGCTCAAATAAGCCTCACAGCAACCCATTTTATACTATTGTGGAAACTGAGGCTCAGAGAGGTACGGTCATTTGGCCACAGGCACACAGCTCCCAAGTGGCAGCTCTGCCACTCAAAGCTGGGCCTGTCTGACCTCAGAGCCCAGGAAACAGGAGAACTTAGAAGAGTGGCCGCCACTGGGTACACACCGAATCAAGCATGTTACTTCCTGGCGCCGTTGGCGGTCAGCGGGGCCTGGGAATCAGGGTCCCTGAGCTCTGGCCCCAAATCTGGGGTCCTAGAGTAGGGGTTGGGGTCATGTTAGCCCTTTGGTGCAGTTTCTCCAGACCCCTCTGGGGGTGACAGTGCCAATTCAGACGGGGAGCGTTGGCGTGTGGAGGTCCTGGGTGGTGTCTATTTCGCCTTCCCTGTGCTTCAGGTCTGAAGGTGCCTCTGCAGATGGCCAGGCAAGGCCTCCCTGGGAAACCACCATCTGCCCCAAACGAGTGGGGAGCGCTGGCATGCCACCATCCCTGCCTCCCACACGGGAGCGGCACACGGCCGCGCAGGCTGGTGGGCCCGACACTTTTCTCTGGGCACCTGTTCTGTCCTCCCTCAGACTAAGCAGGAGCTGGAAGCTGGATCCGGCCCACATCCCTGCTGGGTGGGGGGTGTCCAGGGGGCCCTTTAACAGAGCGCTGAGGTGGGACAGTGTGTCCAGGTGAAAGGAAAGAGCCGTGGAGCTGCTGAGCCGTGCTCCTTTCTACCCCAGTATGGCCGAGCGCCTGGCATGGGCTCAGCTTTTTCCGTGGAAAGTCTCCATGAACCCTCCTACAGCCACACGTGGTAATATATGACACCCAGTTAATATAACACCCATTTACAGCTGAGGACTGTGAGGCCCAGAGAATGAAGCAATTCAGCCAAGGGCACCAGGCTGGGAAAGGACAGACATAGGATTTGAACCCAGGGCCTCTGCTTGCTACTGGCATCTAACCACTGAGCCAGTGCTCCTTAAACTTGAAAGGGGACATGAAAATCACCTGGGGATCATGTTTAAAATCCAGATTCTGCCTCTCCCCTACCTGCCCCTGGAGACTCTAACCCAGTATGGCTGGGAATGTGCATCTTAGCAGGCTGCCCAGGGAGTTCTGATGCGGGCCGTGTGATGGCTTCACTTTGAAAACGTGAGAGATGCAGAGATGGGTCACCTCCCACCCAGGCATCCAAGGAGATCTTGGTCTGAGGGGCTCGACCCCCAGACATGGCCCTGCCCTCTGATCTCTGCTCCCAGAAGCTACATATCCTTTAAGCAGCCTCAGGGGGCAGTGGGTTGGGGTGGGCTGGCCCAGGCCCCTGCCCACCCACTGCCCTCCCCAGCTGGGCCCTGGGCTCCCCCCTGCCCCTTTGTGGCATCTCAGAGATATGCCACCTCTGCCCCTAAGGCCCATCAGGGCTGGCTGGGCCCATCTGCTCAGGGAGAGGCCTCTCAGGGAAGAACTCCAGGGAAAGTCCATGTGTCTGTGTGGGGGCTCTCTGTGGGGAGTCCCATCCTTCCCAGCCCCTCCCGCAGTTTCCATGGCAACGACAGTTGCCATGGTATTGCTGGGTGAGGAGCTGGTGGGGAAGAGGGTGGACCCCAGCCCCCACACCCACCCCAGCCTCTGTGAGAACAGATGTCCTATTTCCATAGCCCTAGGGGACCCCCACAACTGGGGGACTGGGGAGTCACACCCCCAAATGAGTCACTGAGTAAAGGATGGGGGAGAGAGACAGGAAGTCCTCCCTCCCTGCAGTGCTGTGCCGCCTGGCGCACCTCTGTTCTAGCACACACCACACTGCACTGCATTATCTGTTTACTCGTCTGTCTCTCCCGCCACGCTGCGCTCCTCGGGGTGGGGAACTGCCTGACTCATCCTCTACCGTCCCCGCGGCCCAGCACAGGGCCTGGCACAGACTGAATTTAACTGAATTACATAAAAAGCCAAGTCTGGCTCCTCGGGTTTGAGGTGGCACAGTTGGATGGGGAAGTTCGCAGGCTGGGGGTCCAACAGGGACTGGGGTTTGAATCCCCGCTGGGTAGTATGACCTTGGTATGACTTTGAGAGAGTCACTTCACCTCTCGGAGCCTCAGTAGCTTCATCTGTGAAATGATCATTTCTATATCACAGCACTGTTTTGAGGACTTGCCTTGAGCTGAGGAGGCAGCCCCTGGGCCCAGAGCCCCTGAGAGAAGGGGTGAGAAGAATTATTCTGCATCTCAGGTCCCTGCCAGGGTCCTCACGTTCCGGAGCAGAACCATGGGTTCAATCAGAATTAATTGAGCACCTCTTGTGTGCTGAATCCTGTCCTGGGCACTGGGACACATAGGTAGACAGAAAGATGCTGGCCCTGCCCTCCTGGAGCTCACAGTCCGGCAAGAGCGAGAAACGCCTGCCTGGCACGCAGACATGATTAATAAGCGCAGGATTTGCCACCCTTTCCTTCCTTGTCGCAGGGCTGACTCCCCCCCAGCAGCCTCTGCTCTGCATGGTGGGGAGTGGGAGGAAGGCCCCAGGAGGAGGCCTTGAATGTGGAAGCTCTGGGCCTCGTCTGTTGTCCCTAGGACCCTTTGCCCCTAACCCTGGGGTACAGGAAGACTCATGAGCCCAGGTCAGGCTCTGGCCTGGGAGCAGGAGACCTGCGTTCTGCCTCTGGCCCTGCTGAGCCCTGTATGAGCCTGAGTGTGTCTTTTCCTCTCCCGGGGTCTGTGCCTCTCCATGGACAAGGCAGCTGGCTGGGTCTCTATGGTTCCTTGGGCTCTGGCCTGCTCCCTCCTTTCCTGGGCCCTGGGGATCCCACGACTGCCAATTCCAACAGCCCAATTCCTGGAGAGGCCTCCACCCTCAGGCTGTGCCAGCCTGGGGGAGGCTGCCGGGGAGGTGGATGAAAAGAGCCGACTGGACAGAGAAAATTAGCACTGCAAAGGTCAGCAAAAAGGACAGCTGAAGTTGACATTGGCACGAACAGATGTCTGAGGTATAGACTGTCAAATCTGGTGACAGGGAATGACTTTGGGACCCCTCAGTCCAATCCTTCACAGGGGGCTGGGTCCACAGAGAGCTAAGAGCTTTCACTGCACAAACAGATCTGAGTCCAAGGTTGGCTCTGCTAGATACTGGCTGTGACACTGAATGTCTCTGAGCCTCAGTTTCCTCATCTGTAAAATGGGGATAATAACAGCACCTACCTCACGGGGCTACTGCAGGTAGGTGCATAATAACAGCACCTACCTCATGGGGGGTCCATGAGACTCCCACCAAGCGCCTAGCAGGCGGTAGGCACTTAAGAAGCATGAGCTCTTTTCCTTGCCTCCTCCTTCCCCCTCATCCCCAACCCCAGCCAGATGGGGACCTGGAAGGGGAAGTGAGCCGCTGTCCTTCCCCACAGCGGAAGGGAGGGGAGGAAGCACAGTTCTGTTTCCTGGGATCCACTCTGTGGCCACTGGACACATATGCATGTGGGACACCCCATGACTCAGGTTTTCCCAGGCTCAAGGTCAGTGGCTGGGTTGGAACAGGGACTTCCTATTGGCTCAGAACCAACAGAACATATCTGAGAGAGATCTGGGGAGTTGCTGGTCTAGTCTCTTGGCAGCTCTGATGCATAAATTCTGTGACCAGGGGACCTGGGAGAGGGTCTTTTCCAGCTTTCTGGGCTGCCATCTCCCTGTAGTGACTGAAGCCCTTGGGCTAAGGTGCAGTGGGGCCAGCATTTTGGGGGGAGCTTTGGCTCTCCCAGCAGGACAGGTACTCCTGGGACAGAGCCCCCTGAGATCTAGATCCTCCTTTGACCCCCAACTCATTGCAGGGACTTCCTGCCTCGAGGATCTGGCATTGTCACCCGACGTCCCCTGGTCTTGCAGCTGGTCAATGCTACCACAGGTAGGTGCCCTCCTCCACAAGGCAGCCTGCCCTCCTCAGCCCCTCCCCCATCCCCAAGGGGAAGTCCAGCCTTGCTTGCTGTGTACTTTGGGCCTCGACTCCCCATCTGGACAGCACGGATAAAAATACATAAGGAAGACGTGGGCAGTTCTGCTTGGAGGCGTGTGGGGGGCTCTGTTAATTGTGGGAGATGGGACCCCGGTAGGGTTCGGACCATGATGCCTATTCCTCTTCTCCTGCCCGCTTCTGGGGCAGAATATGCCGAGTTCCTGCACTGCAAGGGGAAGAAATTCACCGACTTCGAGGAGGTGCGCCTGGAGATCGAGGCCGAGACCGACCGGGTCACCGGCACCAACAAGGGCATCTCGCCGGTGCCCATCAACCTCCGCGTCTACTCACCGCACGGTGAGGCGGCCTGTCCCCGCCCCCGGCCTTCGGGACCCCTCCTGCAGGCTCCAACCTCACAGCCCCCTTCCTCTGTGCCACCCTACCCGGAGCTCCACCCGCTGGGGCACTGCCCACCTCTGGCCACACCTCCAACGGGCCACCGCCTCACCCCAGCCCGGTGCCCTGATCCCGCCCACTGCCACCAGGCTCCCGCTCAGACCGTTCCTAAACCCGGCCCTGTTCCTAACTCCGCCCGCCCATGGCCACGCCCCTCGCTTGAGCCCGCCCTCTCGCCACCCTGTCCAGTGCTGAACCTGACCCTGGTGGACCTGCCCGGAATGACCAAGGTTCCAGTGGGGGACCAACCTGCTGACATCGAGTTCCAGATCCGGGACATGCTCATGCAGTTCGTCACCAAGGAGAACTGCCTCATCCTGGCCGTGTCCCCCGCCAACTCTGACCTGGCCAACTCCGATGCCCTCAAGGTCGCCAAGGAGGTGGACCCCCAGGGTAGGCCCAGACGTCTATTCTTAGTGTGTGTGGGGGGACCCCCACCAAGTGGTGGGATCAGATTTGTACCTTAAAAATCGTGTTGATCTACTGCCATAGCATTCCTGGACGGGCCCGATCTCGTCTTATCTCGGAAAAATGGTGTTGGCCACTCTGCTGAGAATGGATGAGGGGGAAGAGGGGAGGCAAGGAGTGGGAGAGGGAGTGGCAGGGGGCTGAGGGGGGTGGAGTTGAGGGAGTGGGGTACACGGGTTTGCGAGTGAGAGTGGGGCAGACTGAGACAACCCTCTTGCTGGTGCCTGCAGGACAGCGCACCATCGGGGTCATCACCAAGCTGGACCTGATGGACGAGGGCACAGATGCCCGCGATGTGCTGGAGAACAAGCTGCTCCCCCTGCGCAGGGGTAAGTAGGCTACTCCCCTGCCCTTCCCTGCTCCGTCCCTCCCCTCCCCTGGAGGTTGGTGGCCCCTGACCTTGACCCCATCCACAGGCTACATTGGGGTAGTAAACCGGAGCCAGAAGGATATTGATGGCAAGAAGGACATCACAGCCGCCTTGGCCGCTGAACGCAAATTCTTCCTCTCCCATCCGTCCTACCGCCACTTGGCTGAGCGCATGGGCACCCCTTACCTGCAGAAGGTCCTCAACCAGGTAGGGCACCAAACCAGGACAGGGCCTGGGAAAGCAAGCATGAGAACAGAATGATTTAAGTGTGTTTGAAGAGTGACCAGCAGAAGTTAGCATCCTCATAATGCAGATGAACAAACTGAGACCCAGAAAAGCAAAGCAACTTGCCCATAATCCCACAGCCAGGTAGTGGCAGAGCTTTGCTGACCTTTCCCTGTTTGGGACCTGCAAGGGGAGCCCTGAACTCCTGGGATGAAGAGAAGCCCAAGACCTTCTGTGAAGGGTGGCACTGATGACAGCTTGGGTTTGGGGGCCAGGAATGAAGACCTTGACAAGCAACCCCAGGGGCTACCCTAGGGTGATTCTCTATCTGGAGTAGGGCTTCCAGAACTGAGGCATGTGTGTGAGCGTGTGCATGTCTGTGTGTGTGTGTGTTGATGGGAGGGAGGCAGTGGAGAATGACACAGACCTGGGTTACAATCCGAGCTTTGTCACTCCCCGACTGAGACACTCTCGCTGGCTCTCTGAGCCTCCCTTTCTGCATCTGTAAAATGGGGATAATGGTGATCAGACCCTGTTTCACAGGGTCATCGTAAAGGTTCAAGGAGGTAGGGTGTGGGGACCTAGTGACAGTGAGCACCGGAACTTGAGAATTACCTTAAGGGTGGCCTTAAACCCAGAGGGTGAAAGGGAGTGGCCCTCCAGCCACCCAAACATATGTGAGTTGGCCCTCATGGTGTCTAAAAATATTAAACTAGTCAAAAGTCAGGTAATTTCAAATACGAATTCAGATTCTGGCTTTCGTTGCAGATTGAGTTAGCACTCATTAGTTCAATTAGTACACCTCTGTGAACACCTACTATGACCAGCTTTTGTCCTGGTGACCGGAGCAGCAGGGGTCAGTGCTGTGGCTCCCCTCTATGGCCTTCCATCTCACCACATCCATACAGCCCCCTGGAACCCTGTCCCTGCCTGGCCCTCTGAGCATCTGGCCTTGACCCTTTCCTCACCCTTATCCCCAGCAACTGACGAACCACATCCGGGACACACTGCCAGGGCTGCGGAACAAGCTGCAGAGCCAACTGCTGTCCATCGAGAAGGAGGTGGAGGAGTACAAGAACTTCCGCCCCGATGACCCGGCTCGCAAGACCAAGGCCCTACTGCAGTGAGGCTCCCCGGCCCCCTCACCTCAGCACCATCCTAGCATGGGGCTCTCCCAGGGCCTGCTCCCCTGGGCTGCTCCTGCCCCTCAGGCCACACCACTCTCCCCTCAGGATGGTCCAGCAGTTTGCAGTGGACTTTGAAAAGCGCATTGAGGGCTCCGGCGATCAGATTGACACCTATGAACTGTCCGGGGGAGCCCGCATCAACCGGATCTTCCATGAGCGCTTCCCCTTTGAGCTGGTCAAGGTAGGACAGGGAGCCGGGGGCAGGAGGGCTCTCTCTGACATGCGCCTTTGCTGACCTCCCTGGAGGCCCTGGCGCCCAGCCCTGGGTGTGGGGTAGGCCCTGTCTTGACTTCCCAGGTAGCAAGGACAGGCCCTAACCACCCCTTCTCTGCTTTCCCACACAGATGGAGTTTGATGAGAAGGAACTCCGAAGGGAGATCAGCTATGCCATCAAGAATATCCATGGCATTAGGCACGTATTGGGACCAGGGAGGGGGGCTGAAAGCCAGAAGCAGGGGGTCTAGTACAGAGGCACAGGGAGTGGTGAAGTGGGCCCCAAGAGCCCTGGTCCCCAATACTTTCCAGCCCAATGTTCTACCCCCAGCTTGACAGGCTGCAGCTGGGGGTGCTGGATGGGAGGCCTGGGCCACCCACTCCCTATGACATACTGGCCTTCTCTGCTGTGCCTGGGAGCAGAGCCTGGAGGCTAGACCAGCTGGGCAGAGCAGGGTACAGGTGGCTAGGGACACACTCTTTGGGCTGGGCCCTCTGCCTATCCCTGGAGTAAGACAGTTCCCCCAAGCCCCACCCAGGTGGCTGAGCAAAGGTACCCAAACCACTGGGTAGCGGCTGTGTCCTTTTTTGATAGAATGGGGCTTTTTAACCCTCCAGACCCCACTCTATTCCCCTTAGTCCAAAGTCGGCCCCATTCCACCCCACCTCCCTCTTTCTGGGCAACCCCAAGCCTGCGGAACAGGATTGGGAGGATTGGGAATTGGCCTCTGTCCTTAAAAGCTTATACCTGCTTCAGGGACTCAGATTTATACCATGTTCATCCAAAAAGTTCATTCAGCAGAAAAAATTAAAGCACCTACTATTTGCCAGGCAGTGAATGAGACCAAGACGTCCTGCTTTCACGCAGGTTCAATTCTAAGGTTTGGCGTGGAGTTTACATACCAAAAACTGCACTGGCCAACACACAGGAAAAAAATCTCTCCTAGTCTTAAAATAAAATGCTCTATTCCTGGAAAGGCTCTTATGGAGAATCAATTTGGCAATTTTCAAACCATTTCTGGCCATAGAAGCTTCCGTACTTGCAGACTCTTACAAGGAAACAGGACATATACATCAGACACAAGCAGACCTTGTCTTGTCCCAAAGGTGCACCGACTGAAAGCCCCTCATTTGAATCCCCCCTCCCATTTTACAGCTGGGGACCCTGAGGTCCAGAGAGAGGTAGTGCAAGGGCCCCTTGGGCAGAGTGCAGGGGTTCGGGGAGGGGCCCTGCCTGGCACTCGTAGCCGGCACTGGCCTGTGACACTGTGCCCTTCTCCCGCTCCGGGCGTTCAGAACGGGGCTGTTTACCCCAGACATGGCCTTTGAGACCATTGTGAAAAAGCAGGTGAAGAAGATCCGAGAACCGTGTCTCAAGTGTGTGGACATGGTTATCTCGGAGCTAATCAGCACCGTTAGACAGTGCACCAAGAAGGTAACCTGGTGGCCCGGGCCAGCCCCCGCCTCTGCCCCGCCCTGCACTGCTGCCAGGCGCTCCTTCCCCACGCCCCCCACTGCCTCCTCGGTAGCATGTCCAGACCTCAGCGGGTGGGGGAGGCAGGCCACCACAGACCAGGAGAGGGGGATCTTCTGAGGGGGCCTCACCCACCCCAGCCCCCAGGCCCAGGGACCAAGGGCTTGGACATTGGTAAGATAGATCTGATGATTGGCTGTTTACCCTGAGAGCCCACCCACCAAGAGCTCCCCAGCTCAGAGAGAACAGGGCTGGAGGGGACCCTGAGCCCCCTCCCTGCCCTCAGAGGTGGGGTCATCTTTGGTAGCTCCAGGGAGGGGTATTGGGGAAACCCTGTACCCGGATACAGGTGAGGCACAGGGCCTTCTTGAGCACTGCTCTTTGGGCCTGAGTGGCCAGAGAAGTGCAGAGGACCAGGCCTAGCAGGCACCCTGACTCCCCACTGTCCTTCATCCTCCCCATCCTCACCCCACCCTCACTCAGGGCCTCCCTCTTCCCTTCCATCCACATCTGGCCCTCCGGGGACGGAGCTTCTCCCATCTGCCACGTCATCTGAGCCTCACAGAACCAAGCAAGGACGGGGTGGGGGGACAGTACCCATTTCACAGCATGAAAACTGAGGCTCAGGAAATCAAGTGACTCACCCAAAGTCACAGCAGTTAGGAGGTAGCAGAGCTGCTACTAGAAAGCCAGGGCTTTGGACTCTAAGTCCAGTGCTCCTTGATTCTACCCCCAGCCTCCTTTCCTTTCCTCTCCCCATTGCTGCCCCAGCCCCCTCTATCACCACCTCCACTCTTTCTGTCTTTCCTCTTTTCTCTTTTTCCATCTTTTGGAGCTGAGTTCCGCCAGACCCCTTTGGAGGAGAGGCAAGGGATGCCCCTTGAAGAGAAAGAAAGGGACAAGAGTAGAGCTGGGAGCTGAAGAGTGGAGGTCAGGCTGCTACACTGCAACTCCAGGAGGCACTGTCTGCTCTGTGGTCTGTGTGAATGGAGCCCCCTGGAGTTGTGCAGTGCACGGCCTGGGCAGCTGGATGCAGTAACCATGATGGAGGTGGGGAAAACTCCTGGCTTTGAAGTCAGGATGAAGCAAATGTAGGGGGCACTGGGAAACCTAGAATTGAGCAGGATAAGTGGGTGGGGTCCTGGCCTCTCCTGGCCTGGGACAGCTCCTAAGGAGGGCCCAAGGCTCTGGACAAAGATGGCACTGGAAAAGAGAGGAGGCAGGCTCGGTGCAGTTGAGGAGTGGGGAGGGGCACAGCCATGGGGAGAAGACCTCAACTTGGTAGCGGTCTTGTATGGCAGCAGTCCTCAACCTTTTTGGCACCAGGGACCGCTTTCATGGAAGACAATTTTTCCATGGATGGGGGCTGGGGGATGGCGAGTCGTGGAGAGCAGCTGTAAATAAAGACAAAGCTTCGCTTGCTCGCCCACCACCCACCTCCTGCTGTGCGGCCCTGTTTCTAACAGGCCACAGACTGGGGACTGCAGTCAGGGGCTTGGTCCCCCAGACCCTGGCCATACCCACAGAGTCCTGGGGATGCTTGGCAGCACCTGGGAGGTGCCAACCCTGGGTGGCAGCAGGGAGGGCCCAGTCCCACGCTCACAGTGTCTTCTGTTCTCTCTCTCTTTCTCTGTGTCGGTGTCTCTCTCTCTTCCCCCATGCCCGTGCCATCCCTGCCCCTGGCCCCGGCCGTGCTTGGCTTTCACCCCCTCCTGCTCCCTGGCTGTCCCCACCTCCTCCCCGGGTGCAGGACGGGCCTCTTCACACCTGACCTCGCTTTTGAAGCCACAGTGAAAAAGCAGGTGCAGAAGCTCAAAGAGCCCAGTATCAAGTGTGTGGACATGGTAGTCAGTGAGCTCACGTCCACCATCAGAAAGTGTAGCGAAAAGGTATGATGGCCGCCTGGGCGGGGCTGGGCTTGGCCGTCTCTTCCTCGAGGCCATGGCCTTCTGTGGGCAGAACTATCTGCTGAGCAGGCCTGGCGGCCCCTCGGCCATTCACCTGGACCCATGCTGGCCGGG